GAGGAGTGGAATGGGAAGCAAATGCAAGAACAAAGGAAATTCTGTTCCCCAAAATGCCGTTCCACCTATTGGCAATGCTGGGCTTGGCCTCCCCCGCCCAATGCTTCCATGGCTCCCTCAGCCCCCAACTTCCTCTGCCCTCCTCTCTCCGTCCCCGAAACACCCTTGGCGCAGCTCACCCCTCGCCCTGAGCCCCGAACGGCACGTAAAACTCTCCATCCGGAGAGGCATCGCAAGAGGAGTGAGGGGGGGGAGGAGAGGAGGGTCTCTCTGCTGGTCTCCCTCGCTTCCTTTAAGCCTTGCATAGACTCCCTTCTCTCCATCTCTCCTGCCAAAAGGACCCGACAAAGCGCAACACGCGCGGAGACCCTGGGGATCTCCTGCCAGGTTTGGGACCTCGGCTCGGACCCCAGCAAGGCAGGTGAGCATCCCTTGGTCCTCAAAGAGATTGTGCAATGGAATCCCTGCGGGGTTTCCTCTGGAGTAAGACGTCGTGCACCCCACACCGCGCTGCACACCCCATAGTGAATTTGAAAGTGGGGGTGATCTCTGCTTGGTGGGGGGGGGGCGGCTTCAAATGCAATGCAAACCTTGCAGGTGTTGAGTCCCCACTTTGCAGCTGGGATGCACAGATCTGGGTCTCTGCCGATGGGTCCCAGGAACGGCGCTTGTGGCGTGTGTGTGTGTGGGGGTCTTCTTTCGCTCTCCCCCTCTCATCACCCCTCCCACCCCAGGCTGCGTCTTTACCTCTTTGTCCTCTCCGGCCGCTTGCCTCCCTAAATCGTTAATCCAGTTTCCATTCCTGAATTAAAGGGGGGGGGCGTTTTCCTCCACCGACACAGCCCTCCTCCCTTTTCTAAAACCTCCCGCCTCTGGAGGGACTCCTATTGCCTTTGTCTTGAAACTTCCGACACGTTGAGTAGCAACACTTCGGGTTCCCCTTTGAACGCGCGGGCCCATAGAACTATAGTGGCAGAGCAGCTCCCGCCTGCATTTCAGGATCCTGATGCGAGTCAGGCTTGTGCAAAATATGCATAGGGGAGGGGAGTAAAGCTGTACAACCTTCATCCATCAGAGTTTTTTTCCAAAGGGGCGGGGGGGGGGGTTCTTTCCCTGTCGAGGACTGAACCTGGTGTCTCCTTTTGCATGCAAAGCATTGAATCTGAGACCTTCTGCATGCAAAGCAGCTGTTCTGCGCCTCTCCATACAACTTCATACACCCCCCTTTTTTAAAAAAAGTGTGCATTATAACAACACTGGACTACCCTTTAGGGTTGTCGTAAATTACTGCCGCTGCCGGAGATTGAACCTTACACCTTCTTGCAAAATAAATGGAATTACAGAGCTTGTTTGCAGCAGGGAAGGGAATTTCTGCTTGGAGGGAGGAGAGTGGGAACCTCCTGCCACCCAACCCCTCCATCTGGGCCAACGAGCTCCGCTTCCTAGAGAGGCAGGATGTTTTGGAGTGGGGGGGCAGTCTGGGAGGGGTCTCCGACCATATTCCCGGAAGAGAAGCAGCCGTGGAGAAGAGGAGGAGTAGAAGGTGCGGGTAGGATTTGCATCTGCAAACAGCGCAGCTGGGGGGGGGGGAGGAGGAGGAGGGAAAGGGTTTTATGGCGGGGGGGCGCGTGGGGAATGAGAGGAAAGCAGGGAATTGGCTCCCCCACCCTTTCCCTCCGGGCTTGCCTTTTGCAAGATTTGCGTCCTTGGAAGCAGGCGAAGACATTTTGGTGCAATCTGACCGGGACGCTGAAGAGCCGCCAGGTGACAGCTGCTCCCCCTCCCACAATGACCAACTTGCATTCAATATTATTATTGTATATAACATAATCGATCACAAATATTTCATTCGGGGTTTGCTCCTACGATGTTTTGTGCATCTTTGCACACTGAGCAGCGGGTTTGGACCCCCGCGCATGCTTGCTCAGAATTGCAGCCCCCCATCCTGGCTAGCGATGCTCCGGCTTTGTCTTACAACCCCCCTACCTCCTGCCACCCCCTCATCACCCTATGACCCTTTCCTTCCTTCAGCCACTGCTCCTTCCAGGCTGCGGGGGTGGGGAGGAGATAGGGGTGGGCAGGGAGGCTGCTGTTGTACAGTGGAATCAGCTTGGCAGGAAGGGACATGGGGCAGAGGGGGGTGGCGGCGTTTGCTGTGCTGCTGTTGTAGCCCCAGAGCAGGAGAATACAGACACCTTTGCTTTCCCAGAGAGGGAGGGGATTTTGAATGGGGAGGTGTGGGTTTTGTGGAATGGACAATGCCCGGGAAGTTTCTTTCATGCCTTTTGATTTGTTGGAAGCCGCCCAGAGTGGCTGAGGGAACCCAGTCAGATGGGTGGCATATAAATTTATCATTATTATTTATTTATACCCTGCCCTTCTGGCTGGGTTTCCCAGCCACTCTGGGCGGCTTCCAACCAACTATTAAAAACAACATAGCGTCAGTCATTAAAAACTTCCCTAAACAGGGCCGCCTTCAGTTGTCTTTTAAAAGTAAAATACAGTGGTACCTCAGGTTAAGAACTTAATTCATTTTGGAGGTCTGTTCTTAAGCTGAAACTGTTCTTAACCTGAAGCACAACTTTAGCTAATGGGGCCTCCTGCTGCCGCCGCGCGATTTCTGTTCTCATCCTGAAGCAAAGTTCTTAACCCGAGGTACTATTTCTGGGTTAGCGGAGTCTGTAACCTGAAGCGTCTGTAACCTGAGATACCACTGTAGTTGTTTATTGCCTTGACATCTGCTGGGAGGCCTGGAAGGCCCTCGGAGCTGTACCTCAGTGTCCGGGCTGGATGATGGGGGTGGAGACGCTCCTTCAGGTATACTGGACCGAGGCAGTTTAAAGGTCAGCACCAACACTTTGAATGTGCTCGGAAACGTACTGGGAGCCAATGAAGATCTTTCAGGACCAGTGTTATGTGGTCTTGGCCGCCACTCCCAGTCACCAGTCTAGCTGCCGCATTCTGGATTAGTTGCAGTTTCCGAGTCACCTTCAAAGGTAGCCCCACGTAGAGCACATTTATTATTATTATTGGCTTTGGGAGCTTCCTTAGCAAGAAAGAGGCTGATGTGAGAAGGAGCCAAAAGGAATCAATGATACTTTTGGAGGGGGCGTTAAGGGGGGAGGCAAATGGGGAGGGGTTGCTGCACTGCTCTTCTTGTAAGGATAAAGGCTGGAGGACTTGGTGTGCCACTCTTGAAACCTTTGCGGAACTTCCTCTCCATGAACGGTGAGGTTTTCTGTTGTTATTACTGCCAGTTGCCTTCTTCTCAGGGTCCCCTCTTGGACTCCTTTGGTCACTAGAAGAAAGGGCACTTTTCACTTGCTTGCACCCTCAGTTCCCTCTTTTCCCTTCTCTCTCTCCTCTCTGTATATCATTCCTGAATCTTGGACATCTCTGGGTGGGTGTGAGAGAGAGCTTGGAAATGTTTGCATTTTTGCCTCGTGTGTATAATATCAATCTTGCTATTATTTTCTATGTGCTCCATCAAGATAGAGGCGGGTTTGAAACTGTGTTCAGGACGGATGCCCTGCAGCCTAGTTTGACCCCCCAGTTATTTCTCACCCTGTTCCACCTCACTGTGCTGGAATATTAAAACAGTTCACACACACCGACGCTCTTAGACTGCACTGGCTCCCGGTGGAGTACAGGGTCAGGTTTAAGGTGCTGGTTTTGACCTTTAAAGCGCTGTGCAGCCTAGTACCCACATACCTACGGGACCGCCTCTCCTGGTATGCCCCGCGGAGGACCTTAAGGTCCACAAATAACAACACTTTGGTGGTCTCAAGGAGGTTAGATTGGTTTCAACCAGGGCCAGGGCCTTTTCAGTACTGGCCCCGACGTGGTGGAGCAGCTCTGTCACAAGAGACTAGGGCCCTGCGGGACTTGACATCTTTCCGCAGGGCCTGCAAGACAGTGCTGTTCCGCCTGGCCTTTGGTTTGGACTTGGTCTGACCCTTATGTTTCCCTCCCTTATGGTCTTGATTTATCAGCTATTTTATAATGCGGCTGCATTTTAAATTGCATTTTAACCTATATTTTAAATTGGTTTTTCTTTTTTCTCCCTCTCTTTCCCCCCTATTATGTTTTTACTGCGATTTTATTTTATTGGTGTTAGCCACCCTGAGCCCGGCTCTGGCAGGGGACGGCGGGGTATAAATAAAATTTATTATTATTAGAGGAAGCCCTGGAGGGCCATAAGTCACTAATCTTCCTATCTCTGCCCCGCAAACTACATTCCATGTTTGAGCTGAGATGGAGATGCCCTCCAGATGTCAGCTTTCTTCCAACCAGAGAGTCTTGTCAGTATTTTAGGGCTTTTCTTTATTTATAAATGTGTCAAAAGGTCAGAAAGGGGATATCCTGGATGGCTGTTTTGGAGCAAGCAATAAGTGTCCACCCAGCTCTACCTCTCTTTCAAATCAGAACCAGTGAAGGCGGTGAAGGTCCTGTGTGAGTGTCTGGAGGCAGTTGGAGGATGGATGGCGGCTAACAGATTGAGGTTGAATCCTGACAAGACAGAAGGACTGTTTTGGGGGGATGGGGGTGGGCGGGTGTGGGGGACTCCTTGGTCCTGAATGGGGTAACTATGCCCCTGAAGGACCAGGTGCGCAGCCTGGGAGTCATTCTGGACTTACATCTGTCCATGGAGGTGCAGGTTCATTCTGTGTCCAGGGCAGCTGTCTGCCAGCTCCTCCTGGTACGCAGGATGAGACCCTACCTGCCCATGGACTGTCTCATGCATGTGGTGCATGCTCTAGTGATCTCCCGCTTGGACTACTGTAATGTGCTCTACGTAGGGCTACCTTTGAAGGTGACCCGGAAACTGCACTTAATCCAGACTGCAGCAGCTAGACTGGTGACTGGGAGAGGCCGCCGGGACCACATAACACCGGTCCTGAGAGATCTGCATTGGCTCCCAGTACGTTTCCGAGCACAATTCAAAGTGTTGGTGCTGACCTTTAAAGCCCTAAACGGCCTTGGTCCTGTATACCTGAAGGAGCGTCTCCACCCCCATCGTTCAGCCCGGACCCTGAGATCCAGCGCTGAGGGCCTTCTGGTGGTTCCCTCATTGCAAGAAGTGAGGTTACAGGGAACCAGACAGAGGGCCTTCTCGGTAGTGGCGTCGGCCCTGTGGAACACCCTCCCACCAGATGTCAAGGAAAGAAACAGCTATCCTATCTTTAAAAGACATCTGAAGGCAGCCCTGTCTAGGGAAGTTTTTAATATTTAATGCTGTATTATGTGAGTTCTGCAGAGGTACTGACCATAATGCTTTCTGTGAAGCCTGATTAGGTAGCTTATAGCATTAGAAAGTTCCTGTATAAAGGATGGCCTTGTTCCCATTCCCTGTCTCTCCCCCGCAGGGCCAGGGATGGCTTCTCTAGAGAGCTGCTTCCTGTTTTGAAGTGTTCCCTTCAGGCCTCCTCATTCTCCTTCTCTCTGACAGGCAGCCTGATGGCCACAGAGACACCGTCTGGACCATCTCTTCTTACAGGTGCGGTGGGAAAAGGTGCCAGGCAGCTCCCTCAGGTAAGGAAACAGAATCGGGGGAGGGCAGGTAGGAATTGGTTGGGTATTATTTATGATTAATGATTGAATTTGCTAGTTGCTTTATCCTGCCCAGGGCCACCAAAAGCAACCGAGAACCAAGAAACCAAACAGACAGAGATGAGGGGGATCTAAGAGAAGTTGTCTTGGCTTCTTCTTCCAGGATCTGGTGACCTTCCAGGCCCTCTTGACCTTTGAGGAGGTGGCTGTGTTTTTCACGGAGGAGGAGTGGGCTCTGCTGGATCCTGGCCAAAGAGCTCTGCACAAGGAAGTCATGGAGGAGAATTATGAGATGCTGGCCTCTCTAGGTAAGGATGCATTTTTATGCCGCTGGACTGCTAGACGTTGAAGGTGTCAAGCAGCTTTTGTGCATTTATTCATGCAGAGTAGGAATAATTTAAGAAGAATAGCCCGCTTGGATCCCCATTTTTGCAGATGTACCCTACAATATTTGCAGCTTTGTTCTCTGAAGAAGCATCCATATATTCACACAAATGCCCCTTGTGACAGTGGGGACCACAAGGCCCTATCCTTTTCACATTGCGTGTCTTTATAGGATCCGGATATGGCAATCCTTCCTCTTTGCCTTTGTCGACATAGATACGGATTGATTTGAAATGACTGAGAGTTTTGTGCTCCAAAGTAGCCAATAATATCTCTTTCCTTGGCAGAATCAGACCTCAGTTCCTGTTGGGAAGGACAAAATCCATTCCTCCAGGACCCCAAAGAAGGGGAGACCTCAGCAGGTACCAGTGTTGGGAGGGGGCCCTTTTGCTCCAGGAAGAGAGGGAGGAGAACCTAATGCCTTTATGTTCTTCTTCACATCCTCCTTGAGTGCTTTTTCCTGGCTGCTTTGTTTCCTTGAAATCTGATGGGGTTTCTTGCTTGCCTAGATAGACGACAGAGAGGAGGATGTAGCAACTCTGCTCCTGTCCAAAGGTGACAGTTGCATTTGTTGTTACACCCCTTCTGCCCCTGGCCCCCACAAAGCATGAACATGCACACCTGAAGCTGCAAAAAATTGACCGTGTCTGGAAGACTTTGGGTCTGATCCAGCAGGACTATTCTTCTAGAGAGCAGAGGTGTCCTCCAGGCTGAGTTTTCCCTTCCAATGTGCTGAGATATTCCCTCAAGTTCAAAATATCCACTATGGTTCCCTTGAAGTCAGTGTACAGTGAGATCCTCTTCACGGGTGTCAGGTGGATTCTGCTGGGTCCACGTGTCCCCTCTGCTATCACCACAGCAGGAGATTTAAGATCTTGCCTTTCCCTGCTTTTGGGAAGGGAGCCATGGCAGTAGTAGCAGTAGGAGTGTCTGGGCATATTGTACAGTCATACCTTGGGTTAAAGACGCTTTGGGTTAAATCTTTTCAGGTTGCGTCCTGCAGCGACCTGGAAGTACCGGAAAGGGTTACTTCTGGGTTTCCCCGCTCATGCATGCGCAGACGCTCAAAATGATGTTACACACATGTGCAGAAGCGGCGAATCGCAACCCGCACACACGCAGACGTGGGTTGCGTTCTGCTCTGGTTGTGAATGGGGCTCGGAACAGATCCCATTCACAACCAGAGGTACCACTGTACTCAGAATTAACTGGCCTTTTGGAAAGTATTTCCCAAACCAGAGTTCATCGGTTGGGTGGAAGGAGAAGATGTTAGGAAAACATTATTCAAGAAACAGATAAAAGTTCCTTTAGGCTTTAAAGAGGGTTCCAGAATTTTCTTTAGCGTGTTGGAGTGCCACTCTTGGCTTGATTGGTGCAAATAAAGGAAGGAAATTGCAGGCTGCAATTCTGCACAAGGAAAGCACACACACACACACACACACACACGCACACACACACACTGAGTTTATACCATGCTGGAAAGATATAGTAGGCATGTAAATAGTTTGTATATATTTGTAACTGAAATGCTTGTGCAACAAGTCAAGCAATATAGAAGCTCTTGACTGAGGAATCTGACTATGACTACTGTTCTTGTAAGGAAACAGGTGGCGCAGTGGGTTAAACCACAGAGCCTAGGACTTGCCGATCAGAAGGTCGGTGGTTCGAATCCCCGCGACGGGGTGAGCTCCCGTTGCTTGGTCTCTGCTCCTGCCAACCTAGCAGTTTGAAAGCACGTCAAAGTAGATAAATAGGTACTGTTCTGGCGGGAAGGTAAACGGCATTTCCGTGCGCTGCTCTGGTTCGCCAGAAGTGGCTTGGTCTTGCTGGCCACATGACCCAGAAGCTGTACACCAGCTCCCTCGGCCAGTAAAGCAAGATGAATGCTGCAACCCCAGAGTCGTCCGCAACTGGACCTAACAGTCAGGGTACCTTTACCTTACTGTTCTTGTCATCTGCCTCCAGGGAAATATTCTGCTACAAGGAGGTGCCACCACACAAGCAGAAAGCGCAGCCGAAGTGTGTGGGCGGTAACCTCCAATAAAAGATCCATTTGGATGGGGTTCTAAGGAAAGGTAAAGATCAGAAAGTGGGAGTCACAGCAGGTGGAGCGGAAAGGGACCTTGAGATTGTAGCATATTCAGAAATTAACTTCAGATTCAGCTGGACAGGGGGAGAGAGGGAGGGGGACAAGCTTGAAAAACATATAAACAAAGAACTGAGTTCAATGTGTATTGAGGGTCTCTGCTTCTGCCTTCCGATTTGAATGGCATTTTCTTTTTCTCGCTCAAAACAGGTAATGGGCAGAAGAGCGAGAATCGTGGAGAGCCATCTGTGGGGTCATCGGGAAATGTGGAGTGTGAAACAGCAAAGAGAAATTTGTAAATCAGCGATCACCCCAAAAGCGTGCAGGAACCATGTTGGAAAATGGGGAAAGGAAATCCTCCACCCCTCAGGACACTGATGTCCATGTCGAGCTGAATTCACATGAAGAATGCACAGGGAACAGCAGTGTGGAGTGTGGAAAGAGCTCCAGTCACAGTGGAAGCTTCAGTTCACATCAGAGAACCCAAACAGGGGAGAAAGCATTTCAATGCATTGAGTGTGGAAAGAGGTTAAGTAGTGCTGGTAACCTTATTAAGCACAGAAAAACCCACACAGGGGAGAAGCCATTTAAATGCATGCAGTGTGGAAAGAGCTTCAGACAGAGTGGGAACCTGACTGCACATCAAAGAACCCACACAGGGGAGAAACCGTTTACATGTATGGTGTGTGGGAAGAGTTTCAGTCTCAATCACCATCTTACTTTACACCAAAGAACCCACACAGGGGGAAACCACATACATGCATGGAGTGTGGAAAAAGCTTCTGTACCAGTAGTTTCCTTATTGTACATCAAAGAAAGCACACTGGGGAGAAACCATTTAAATGTACGGAGTGTGGAAAGAGCTTCAGCCAGAGTGGAAACCTTACTAAACATCAAAGAACCCACACTCAAGAGAAACCGTTTCAATCCATGGTGTTTGGAAATAGTTTAAGCCCCAATTGCCAGCTTACTTTGCATCAAGAAAAACACGCAGAGGAGAAACCATTTAAATGCATGGAGTGTGGAAAAAGCTTCAGTCGTAGGAGTAAGCTTACTTTACATCTAAGAACCCACACGGGGGAGAAACCATTTAAATGTATGGAGTGTGGAAAGAGCTTCAGCCAGAGCGGAAACCTAACTGCACATGAAAGAACACACACAGGGGTGAAACCATGTAAATCTGTGGTGTTTGGAAAGAGTTTGGGACTCAGTCATCATCTCAATTTACATCAGGGAGCCCACACTAGGGAAAAACTGCATAAATGCATGGAGTGTGGAAAGAGCTTTCGTGCGAGTAGCATCCTTATTGTGCATCAAAGAACACACACTGGGGAGAAGCCATTTAAATGTTCAGAGTGCGGAAAGAGCTTCAGCCAAAGTGGAAGCCTTACTGCACATCAAAGAACCCACACAGCAGAGAAACCATTTAAATGTATGGTGTGTGGAAAGAGTTTCAGTTTCAATTACTACCTTACTTTACATCAAAGAACGCACAGTGGAGAGAAACCGTTTAAATGTATGGAATGTGGAAAGAGCTTCCGTTGGAGAACTACACTTATTTTACATCAAAGAGCCCACACTGGAGAGAAACCATTTAAATGTATGGAGTGTGGAAAGAGCTTCAAACAGAGTGGAAGGCTTACCGCACATCAAATAACCCACACAACAGAGAAACCATTTAAATGTATGGTTTGTGGAAAGAGTTTCAGTGTCAATTACTACCTTACTTTGCATCAAAAAGCCCACATTGGGGATAAACCATATAAGTGTATGGAGTGTGGAAAGAGCTTCAGCCGGAGTACTACACTTATTGTACATCAAAGAACACACACTGGGGAGAAACCATTTAAATGTTTGCAGTGTGGAAAGAGTTTCAGTCGACGGAGTACACTTACTGTACATCAAAGAACACACACCAGGGAGAAGCCCTTTAAATGTATGGATTTTGAAAACAGAAGCTTTATAGAACATCATAAAACAGACACTGGGGAGAAACCATTAGAATGTATGGAGTGTGGAAAGAACTTCCGTTGTAGAAGTGCTCTTACTTTACATCAAAGAACCCACACGGGGGAGAAACCATATGATTGCATGGACTGTGGAAAGAGCTTCAGTCGTAGGAGTACACTTATTATACATCAAAGAGGCCACACTGGTGAGAAACCATTTAAATGCATGGAGTGTGGAAAGGCCTTCAGGCATAGCGGAAGCCTTACTGCACATCAGAGAATACACACCGGGAGAAACCTTTTAAGTGTATGGAGTGTGGAAAGAGTTTCAGTCGAAGGACTACACTTAATATACATCAGAGAGCCCACACTGGGGAGAAACCTTTTAAATGCGTAGAGTGCGGGAAAAGCTTTAGTTGTAGGAGCGCACTTACTTTTCATCAGAGAACTCACTCTGGAGAGAAACCATTAAAATGTATGGAGTGTGGAAAGAACATTCAGCGGACTACAGTTACCTTTCATCAAAGAATCAACATTGGGGAGAAACCATTAAGATGCATGGAGTGTGCAAAGAGTTTCAGTGAGAGTGATGACTTGACTGCATCTGAGAACCCACACAAGGGAGAAACCTTCCAAGTAAATGGAATATGAAAAGAGCTGCAGTGGGAGCAGCAAACTTAACTTCACACAAGATAATTCACACAGAGAGAAAAACTAACAAAATACATGGAATGTGAACAGCACTTTGTTAGCGACTGAAGCCATCTCTGCACAGGGAGGAACCAAAACAGGGAAGAAATTAAGAGTGTAGAAATCTTGTGGCACCTGAAAATGCATTATGATGTAAGGTTTCATCTTCCCTAAGAAAAAGAAGAAATTGCCAGCACTGCAACTTTTAATTGCCCAAGACAGTCTCCCCTTTCTGTGTAATGTTCGACCCAACACCTACTTTACACCTAAGAACCCATACTGGGCAGAAACCATTTAAATGTGTGGAATGTGGAATGATCTTCTGCCAGAGTAGAAACTTCATTGCACATCAAAGAACACACACGGCGTAGAAACCGGTGTGAATCCCAGAGGTGGAGAAGCAGTGAAGACAAAGCTTAACCACTATATTAAATGGTCTCCCCATTCTGGGAAATGTGATATAACTGATTGGATCTCCATGTACAGAAAGAGCCACAGGCCCGTGCTCCCAAAGAGAGGGTGGCGCCAGACCTTAAACTCTGAGTTGGCCTCCGCAGTCACTGACGAACTCATTGTTAGTATTGTGTTTATGGAAGACAATCTTACTCGGCTATGAGTGATTGCCAAAGAAAGAAAGAGAAATAAAAGAGTACACTAGGAATACTATATTGTTCGTGGGTAGGCTGTGATTAGTCCAGGTGCAAAGCTACAGTGCTCTGCTTTATTTTGTAATCAATTTAACCTGTTTTCTTGCTGGCACCTGATCTTTTATTATAAATAAAGTTCATAATCTGACCACCTCTTCAGTTTGTCCTATCACTGAACCTTTTTTTGAATGCAACTTTTAGTCTATTCAGAAGCAAATAAAATATCAGCATGAAGGATGTTTAGATTAAAACAGCTGCAGGTGAGGCATTCATATTAGAACTATTGCTTTCTTTCCCCATATACAGGTGTCCTACTGAATCAGATTTCCTTTCATCTGAAAGAGAAATGTTGCCTCTGACAAATGTGGAGATAACCAAACATCTTGGATTCATATTACCAAATTCTCTTAAAAGGGGAGATGGGCTACATATTTTGCCATTTTGGTAGCACCAACTCAGTCTCATAAAGGTTGCTTAGTTTAAAGCTGCTGAATGTGTCGCATTGAGTGATTTATGGGGTGTCACACCACCCATAAAGCAGCTCTGAGACTGAGGAAGGCATACAGGACGTAATGGAGGAAGAAGGGACAGTCCAGGTGAAAAACAGGTCAGTAGATTCTCCACCTTCCTCTGCCCCACTCTCTTGTAGAACCAGGAGCTTGAAAAGTGAAGAGCAGCTATGACTTCTGTAGTTTCAGGCTGCATGTACGCAACCCATCAGGGGAGGAGGGGAGGGCCCCCATTGTTGCTGCATGGTGAGCTCCCGTTCCTCTGTCCCAGCTTTTGCCAACCTGGCAGTTCGAAAGCATACCAGTGCAAGTAGATAAATAGTTACCACTGTGGCAGGAAGGCAAATGGTGTTTCCGTGTGCTCTGGCTTCCATTATGAAGTCCCATTGCACCAGAAGCGGTTTAGTCATGCTGGCCACATAACTTGGAAAAGCTGTCTGTGGGCAAACACTGGCTCCCTCAGCCTGAAAGTTGAGATGAGCACTGCACCCCATAGTTGATTTTGACTGGACTTAACCCTCTAGGGCAATGTTCCCCAACCTTGGGTCTCCAGCTGTTTTTGGACTACAACTCCCATCATCCCTCGCTAGCAAGACCAGTGGTCAAGGATGGTGGGAATTGTAGTCCGAAGCAGCTGGAGACCCAAGGTTGGGGAACACTGCTCTAGGGGACCTTTACCTTTTACCATGAACAGTGTTCAAAACGCCAGGAGAGAGATCCTGAGGGACATTCTTTATTCTTACTATTGTTTCTGTCTGTGTCCAAACTCCCATCAGTGGAGTCCCCTTATCCAGACAGATTTAAGGAGATCCTAGTCCCACTCTTTTTAATGGGATCCTAGGTGGTGGTATGGTCCCTGAATCCTGGACCAGAATGGTGATAATCCCCAAAAGCAGGCAAGGACCCAGAAAAAATGGAGTTCCATATCACTCCTAAGCCAGGACCAGAAGAATGTTTACGGTGCTTATTATGGTGCGATTTAATAGGGGAATCAGTTCATATGTTCATCCAGACCAGGCAGGTTGCGTACCGGGAAGGCAGATCTCATATTCCATTAGATGGCTGCTCAGTGTACAGTGGTACCTCAGGTTAAGTACTTAATTTGTTCCGGAGGTCTGTTCTTAACCTGAAACTGTTCTTAACCTGAAGCACCACTTTAGCTAATGGGGCCTCCTGCTGCTGCCGCGCCGCCGGAGCGTGATTTTTGTTCTCATCCTGAAGCAAAGTTCTTAACCCGAGGTACTATTTCTGGGTTAGCGGAGTCTGTAACCTGAAGCGTATGTAACCTGAGGTACCATTGTAATTAGAAATGCTAAGGCCTTCTGTCAGCCTGAGACTTCTATCACGGTCGATGCCTTTAAGGCATCTGACTGTCTTGAGTGGCTGTATATTTTTGCTGTTTTAAAAGGATAACAGATAGGGAATAAGAAGGGTAGGGTTATGGACTTCCAGCGATGAAAGATGGCTGTACTGAGCTCATAGGGACCACCAGCACCAACAGGGCTCTCTAGCTGGTCAGGGGGAGCCAGGACTGCCAAACGCAAAGATTGAGAGGGTTGTGTGAAGCCCCCACCCCCCTTCCCCAATGACCTTGGCTCCACCAGGACTGGGATCACCCCAGCAGCGATCCAGCAGAGCTCAGAGGTCCAGAGGCCTCCAGAGCTGAGCAGGTAACACAGTGGAGCCCCCCCCCCCAATTTTTTTTACCTGCTGCCACGGCCATCGAGAGAGCCTTTAATTTTTAACTTTTTATTATGAAGCCCTAACCCCACCCTATACTTGTGTGTATGAGTGTGTAGGTCTGTGTGCACATGTGTATCCACAAACAACCCCCTCAGCACACACTCTTCCTCTGGCCCCACCCCACCAGTCCCTTGCATATCTGTTTGTTAAGTTTACCTGCTTCTTCCTTCCATGCTATAAGCATGGGCTGTGTGAACCAGCTATTAGATGGCCCACCAGCATTAAGACATCTTCCACCTCCTTGTGATATTTGTCAAGGGGTACGTTTCATAGAATCATAGAATCATAGAATCATAGAGTTGGAAGAGACCACAAGGGCCATCGAGTCCAACCCCCTGCCAAGCAGGAAACACCATCAGAGCACTCCTGACATATGGTTGTCAAGCCTCTGCTTAAAGACCTCCAAAGAAGGAGACTCCACCACACTCCTTGGCAGCAAATTCCACTGTCGAACAGCTCTTACTGTCAGGAAGTTCTTCCTAATGTTTAGGTGGAATCTTCTTTCTTGTAGTTTGGATCCATTGCTCCGTGTCCGCTTCTCTGGAGCAGCAGAAAACAACCTTTCTCCCTCCTCTATGTGACATCCTTTTATATATTTGAACATGGCTATCATATCACCCCTTAACCTCCTCTTCTCCAGGCTAAACATGCCCAGCTCTCTTAGCCGTTCCTCATAAGGCATCGTTTCCAGGCCTTTGACCATTTTGGTTGCCCTCCTCTGGACACGTTCCAGTTTGTCAATGTCCTTTTTGAACTGTGGTGCCCAGAACTGGACACAGTACTCCAGGTGAGGTCTGACCAGAGCAGAATACAGTGCCACTATTACTTCCCTTGATCTAGATGCTATACTCCTATTGATGCAGCCCAGAATTGCATTGGCTTGTTTAGCTGCCGCGTCACACTGTTGGCTCATGTCAAGTTTGTGGTCAACCAAGACTCCTAGATCCTTTTCACATGTACTGCTCTCAAGCCAGGTGTCCCCCATCTTATATTTGTGCCTCTTATTTTTTTTTACCCAAGTGCAATACTTTACATTTCTCCCTGTTAAAATTCATCTTGTTTGTTTTGGCCCAGTTCTCTAATCTGTCAAGGTCGTTTTGAAGTGTGATCCTGTCCTCTGGGGTGTTAGCCACCCCTCCCAATTTGGTGTCATCTGCAAATTTGATCAGGATGCCCTTGAGTCCATCATCCAAGTCGTTGATAAAGATGTTGAATAAGACCGGGCCCAAGACAGAACCCTGTGGCACCCCACTAGTCACTCTTCTCCAGGATGAAGAGGAACCATTGATGAGCACCCTTTGGGTTCGGTCAGTCAGCCAGTTACAAATCCACTGAGTGGTAGCATAGTCAAGACCACATTTTACCAGCTTCTTTACAAGAATATCATGAGGCACCTTGTCAAATGCCTTGCTGAAATCAAGGTAGGCTACATCCACTGCGTTCCCTTCATCCACCAGGCTTGTAATTCTGTCAAAAACGAGATCAGGTTAGTCTGACATGACTTATTTTTCAGAAATCCATGCTGACTATTGGTGATCACAGCATTCCTTTCTAGGTGCTCACAGACTGTTTGCTTAATGATCTGCTCCAGAATCTTCCCTGGTATTGATGTCAGACTGACTGGGCGGTAATTATTTGGGTCCTCTCTTTCCCCTTTTTGAAAATAGGGACAACATTTGCCCTCCTCCAGTCTGCCGGGACTTCGCCTGTTCTCCAGGAATTCTCAAAGATGACTGCCAGTGGTTCTGAGATCACATCTGCCAGTTCTTTTAATACTCTTGGATGCAGTTCATCTGGCCCTGGAGACTTGAATACATCTAAACTAGCCAAGTATTCTTGTACTATCTCCTTAGTTATTCTGGGCTGTGTTTCCTTTGCTGAATCATTTGCTCCAAATTCTTCAGGTCGGGCATTGTTTTCTTTATCGGAGAAGACTGAGGCAAAGAAGGCATTGAGGAGTTCAGCTCTTTCTGTGTTTTATGGGTGCAGAATCTACCAGAAGTTTCTAGAACATTCTGGGTCTTTTAAGTCGCCTCCAAGATTCTCAAAGCACAGCTGGTGTTTACAGGCTGTGAGTGTTACCTGAATTTCAAGGTTATTTGCTCCGGGGACAGCCTATACCTACTCTCTACTGGGTAGATCTGTTATTTCTACCTTTTCTACTGCACTTTACATTTCATTTTGTAATTATTTCATACTATGTGGTGTGTATTTTACTGGTTGCAACTGGATGCCCTCTCAGGAGCTAAGTTTTGTAGCTGCTGAATTTCAGCATGAACTGTATTGATTTTGAACCTCAGCAAATTGCTACTGAAGAAACTTCTGCTGCCTCTTTGTGTGTTTTTGATCTCAGGTAATTGCTCTTCGCTTTGCTTCCGCTACTCTGCTCATACAAGGAGATGTGGGTGTCTGGTTTTTGGACATCTTACTCCATCAGTATTTGGAGAGGGGGAACTTGGCGGTCTTTGAATTTTTCCATTCTTGCGAGGGTGTCTATTGTAGCCCTGCCCACAATCTTGATTCACTTTCAGGTTCTTCCCCTTTCAGTTATAATAATAATAAATTTTTATTTATACCCCGCCCATCTGGCTGGGTTTCCCCAGCCACTCTGGGGGAAGGTAATACCCTGACCTCTTCGCAGTGCCTTGTTAACAGGTTTATTTTTTGTTCTAAACAGCCCAGATTATCCTCTTCATTGTTGTATTATAAATCCAGCTTGAGAAAATGGCGAGTCCCTCATTTATCAACATATTTTGACACCTTTCAGTTATGGCAAATCATTCCCATGCTTTCAGCAAATGTAGTAACATCTTGGGTCACGCTGGAGGCACGAGCTCCTCCTTCTCTCTCACAAGCTGTGATCCCCAAACAGGTCAATATGGAAGTCTATATCCAAGCCTTTCACACAATGAACTACAGAGATGCGGAACAGAAGGTATAAAAATACTCAAGGTAAGAAAAGCCTGCCACAGAAACATTCTATTCCTAAACTACACGATCAGCACTAAGAAAAATAACAGGGTGGGGGTCAGGTTGAGAAGTCCACATAGCATAGAAATTATTAGAGCATTCATACATACTCTGGTTATCTCCCACTTGGACTACTGCAATGTGCTCTATGTGTAAAAGGTAAAGGTACCCCTGCCCGTACGGGCCAGTCTTGCCAGACTCTAGGGTTGTGCGCTCATCTCACTCTATAGGCCGGGAGCCAGCGCTGTCTGCAAACACTTCCAGGTCACGTGGCCAGCATGACAAGCTGCATCTGGCGAGCCAGCGCAGCACACGGAACGCCGTTTACCTTCCCACTGGTAAGCGGTCCCTATTTATCTACTTGCACCCGGGGGTGCTTTCGAACTGCTAGGTTGGCAGGCGCTGGGACCGAACGACGGGAGCGCACCCCGCCACGGGGATTCGAACCGCCGACCATGCGATCGGCAAGTCCTAGGCGCTGAGGTTTTACCCACAGCGCCACCCGCGTCCCTAATGTGGGCTCTATGTGGGGCTACCTTTAAAGGTGACATGGAAACTACAACTAATCCAGAATGCAGCAGCTAGACTAGTGATTGGGAGCGGCTGCTGGGACCACATAACACTGGTCCTAAAAGAAGTACATTGGCTCCCTGTACGTTATTGAGCACAATGCAAAGTGTTGGTGCTGACCTTTAAATCCAAAATGGCCTAGCCCTGTAGACCTGAAGGAGCATCTCCACCCCCATCATCCAGCCTGAACATGGAAGTTCTCCTCCGAGGGCCTTCTGGCGGTTCCGTAACTGCAAGAAGTGATGTTACAGGGAACCAGGGAAGGCCATCCCTGTGGAATGCCCTCCCAAGGAAATAAACAACTACTTGACTTTTAGAAAACATCTGAAGGCAGCCCTGTTCAGGGAAGTTTTTAATGTTAGATTTTTTTCTGTGTTTTTATATATGCTGTAAGCTGCCCAGAGTGGCTGGGGAGACCCAGCCAGATGAGCAGGGTGTTGTTGTTGTTGTTGTTGTTGTTACTACTACTACATAGGGTATATTCAGGTATTACAAAAATACATAAATTTGTAAAATTTAGCATTGAATAAATTGTCTCGTATGCTAAATGGGTTAACTAATTTTATAAGAGATAAACCTCTTCAGCCCCGACTTGGGAGGTTGCAAGATGTGGGGGCAGCACCCCCAAGAGAAAAAAGGCTACAGCATCTGGTCTAGCAAACACCCTCTCTCCCTAGGGGCCTTGCAGGTTTCACAGCCACCCAGACACCTGACCAGATTCTACTGGATTAAATCCCACCACACAGTTACCAGTTTTAGTTTGCTAAAGCTCATTTGAGGCAACTGAAACTGGAATTGTATGGAGGATTTTCAAAACTGCGGTTATGCCCCCATTAAATAAAGTGTACACATCTCACAGTATGCAAACTACAAAAATCTATACAATTTACCAGATTGTATACCAGTATACAATCTTGTAGTGAGTGAATATTGAGCAAAAAACAGAGTTTTATTAATAAAAAGAAGCTTTTGAAAGAATGTGGGTCAGGAAATGTGTTCTCCGGGTAGAAGTCAACTTATTTACTTAAACTATAAGATCTTTCAGTCTTAAACACAGGATTAGTCACCGCTTCTCTTAAACTCTCTTCACTTTAAAAATAAAGTTGTTATATGTCCGTTTATGTTACTTAGTTAGGACAGGTGGTTCAGTTAAATAATACAGCACATCTTACTTCCCGATCAATACCCTGGTTCATGAGCGAGGGCACTTTTCCCCAGCTCCCCCTCTAAGCAACCCCACTGCTGAGGTAATTCCAAAATGGCGTAACAGACCCAGGGGATCCCTCCCCCTTGTGACTGGCTTAGGGGTCCTTTCTCCCTAGAAGAACTGTCCCATCTGGACTGGAAAGAGACCCAGGGGAGCCTGAATCCCCCAGGATCTGCTTCTCCTGCCTCAAGAGTCAGCCATCCCAGGACACCCCTGTTTGTAAACCTTCCCCAGACCCTCAACCAGGTCTCCCTCTCCAGGCTGGGAGGGTTTTTCCTCTCTCAGGGAGGGTATTCAACTCAACTAGAACCAGTTCTCCCTCAGGAAAATCCTATCCTCCTCCCTAACTCCCACCTCAAAACAATCCCTCTTCATCTTCTCTCATATCAAACTCTCTCCCTCAGTAACAGCTCCTTTTATTTTCCCTCCAAAAGTGCTGTTGTCCAATCAGAGAGAGGTTCCATCCCTCTGGTGGAATTTCAGGGGGACTGAATGACCAGACTCTGGTCCGGCTCTGCCGTCCGTCCGTCACACTTCTGCCTGAGAACAACCAGTACAGGTCAGCAGTAGGAAATTTCTGTCCCTCATCACAACCACCAGACCTACTAAAGGTTAATACTTTGTAAGGAAAACATCAGGAATCTGGAATCTCCATGTATCAACACCACCTTGGGTTTCACAATATGGCAGTTCTAAGAGCAGAGGTGGGGAAAGCAGGAGTTTGCCTGTGAGAGGAAGAGTTTTGGGCTCCTTGTGAAAGGGGATTCCAGGAACCAGGAACCACCTTAGACAAGGCCTTTCCCAGGATGGAAAGGAAGCAAGGGAAATCTGACACTCCCTTATTCCTTTTGAAATAGTTTATTCCAGGCTTTACGATACGGGGTAAGAATTTCCTTCCAAACCACCCCTCAATGACTCATGGCCAGGGGAAGGAATAACACCTCAAAGAAAAACAGCCAAGAGAGAGGAAAATTCAACATCCAGAAGGGACCCAATTTATTGAGAGATAAGTTATTGCAAAAGCTCCAGTGACTCAAAACCAGAGGTTCATTTTAGTACAATTTTGAGAGTGATTTTTGAGAAAGGAACAGGCATTAGCTCATAGAAGTTATACTTGTAAGGGAAAGTCACAGGTCAGGGAGCTAAAACTGTTCTTCTGTCCATTATTTTGGGTATCCTGGTGTCTTGCTGTCTTAGGATTTACATTTCACTCATTTATTGTCCGTCTCCCTCACAACCATCTCCCTTTAGAAAGTCCTTAGCTTACCATTCCAATAGCTCCCAACACCTGGGAAGAAGACTCAAGGGAAGAAGAGTCGGTCACATAAATTTTCTATTTCTAAACTTTTTAAGCAATAGTTTGAAAGATAATTGGGTGGAAGTTGGGGTTGAGAAGTCCACGTAGCCTAGAAATTATTAGAGCACTGAGACATAGCTTCCATCAGAGAAAGTAAGATGAAGGTATAACAAAGGTACATATGTTTCATTCACTGTTAAGTTATACAAATTCTATTATATGCTAAATGGGCTAACTAATTTTACAACAGAAACACCAGTTCAGTCTCGACTTGAGAGGTTGCAAAACATGGGGGCAGATCCAGAAGGCAGATCCAGCCTCCCCCAAAGAGAAACTGCAGCAGCTGATCTAGAACACTCTTTCCCTCCAAGCCGTATTAATGGATCCTTCTCTAGGAGGACTTGGAGGAGCCACAGACCCTTGGGAAGGAGAGAGGAGCAAAGGATGCCCCAGAGCCCCTCTGGAGAAGTTATTGACAGCACCCAAAACAGAATCACCCACCAAAGGCCATGTTTCTCTTTCTCCACCACCTTCTCTTCCCCAGGGTTGCTTTTATTCATCTAGAGGAGCGGGGGAGGGAGTCTCTTTCACACCCCCTCTGGACACCCGAGGAACCGTGCTTTCTTCATTCCTCTATTCCTGCTGCCACTGGAATTAATTTTTTTATCTGAACATTGTGCCCATCAGAGAACCAAGGAAGAGGAAGGGTTGTAACACAATTAGTGTATCTATTATAAAAACTACAAAAGGGGTTTATGCACATAAGAAGATGGCCTCACTCTGTGTCTTATTTGTTCATTTAGTATAATTACAACAACAGGTGTTATACGGTTGTTCGTATACTACTAATTTAACGAACCCTGCTTCCAAAGCATCACAACTTTCACCCTGTAATTTCCACAATGCTCTATTAGCAACCCCAAAACACCAACATTTCCAACTCTCTCTACCAAAGACCGAACTTCAGCCGACTCAAAGAGCATCAACACTGACCACCAGCATTGCAGGTTCACGCTCTCAGCAAACTGCAAACAGTTCATGACATATGATATTGCATTTACTATTGTGAAACATCACCTTCATTACTTGAATACATGGGTACAAATTTACATGCAGACACCAGAACTGTTGGTTTCTATTTCCCTCACTGAGCAGCAAATGCATGTCACAAGACAGTGTTTACATTCCACAGTTCAAGTTACTGTTGGATTCCCACGGAAAAGGGAGACTGGATGTGACGTACACTGGTTTCCTGTTTCTTTGTTCTGTCGTTTCTTTGTTGAGAGTTGCTCTCTGCTCTCACAGAGGCAAGATGTACGTTTGTGTGTTCTCGGTATAGAAATAAAAATTAGCATGTAGCGCAATACCTGCTTATCCTTTCGTTGTGGACTAAGAGATTACACTCTGCTGTATCAGCTCCAGATGGGCCGGAGCTGATCAAGCATAACATTTTTGGTTCCAGGCCCAGAAGTCGGAATCGGAATGACGAATGGCGACCGGCAGAGGAACGGAACGGAGATATCTGCTCTCCGTGTGAAGAAGATTGATGAGAGGTATGTGCTCTTGCTACAGGAAGCCTGCAGTTCCTAATTAATGGCTTTAAGGCTGGACTTTAAACTTTTAAGCCAAAGCAGCCGTTTGCTGCGGCAGAGGCTCGGCAGAGGCTTGAAAACGAAAGTGCTTTTGGAAGCAGCTGTACACAGACGCAGCTTGCTTTAAAGCAGCAGAGATGGCTAATGCAAGGCTAGCAGACACTTTTGGAATTCCAAAGCTCAATAAAAAGAATTTCGCGGAATGGGTGTTGTATGCAGAGGCTCTGCTATGAAAAGAGGGTCTGTTCAATGTTATTACAGATGCCCCCCCAGCACCGGTGTCGGATGAATGGGCAGCTAAGGATTCCAAAGCGAGGGGAACTCTTACGCTGTTTGTATCCCCAGAAGAGCTATGTCTTTTGCGTGATAAGACCTCAGCCAAAGAGATCTGGGACACTTTAAGAGACGCTCATTTGAGAACAGAGGCTGGTGCTTCTTTGTTCTACTATGCCAAGTTGCATGATATGGCACTTGCTGGAGGTGCAGATGTGCATGGAGATGCAGAATCTGAGACATGAGCTGCAACAGAGAGGAATCACCTTTCCAGAGGCTGTGTATTCCTTCATGATACTAAATTCTTTGGGTTCAAGTTGGGAATCCATTGCCACTCAGACTGCTGTTTTGCCAACTGCTCAGCTCATGGTAGTGCATGTTACTGCTGTTGTTCAGAACGAAGCAGACCACCGTAGTGCTAGCTGCATCGGTAAGGGAGAGTCTTCACAGACGTCATCCCAGAATGCAGTGGAACCACTAGATGGCGCCAAAGCTTTGAAGGCAGTGAAATGCTACTCGTGTGGACGTCTAGGCCACATGAAAAGGGAATGCAAGTATCCCAACAAGGCCAAGACAGAGCAGCGTAGCGAAAGCTCAATGCATGGAAAAGGCAAAGGCAAAGGTCCGGTGTCCAGGACAACGCAGCACAAAGCGATGGTCTCACGCTTCACTCCAAAGGTTGTAAAGGTCCAGAAGACGTCTAGATCATTCTTCGTTGTTGATTCAGGAGCCACGAGACACATTTGCAACAACAAAAGACTGTTTGTGTCTTTTACACCGCAGGAAGGTGCGATTCACCAGGTGGATGACCACACGATCTCCAGTCAAGGCTATGTAACTGTTGTTCTTCACAGTTTGGACTTGTCGATACATGACGTTCTCTACGTTCCAGATGCTGCACACAATCTACTCAGCGTCGCGCAGCTGAATGAACGGAACATTGACGTTTCCTTCAAGAACAAGAAGTGCACCATCACAAAGAAAAACGATTATGTATTGCTTGCTGAATATGTTGATCGTTTGTTTGTACTGTATTTTGATGATGTTGTGCAGGATGAAACTTGTTGCATTGCAGGTTCTAACAAAAGTTTGCATGCAGGATGTATTCATGATTTTCACAGAAAATTTGGTCATTTACACTTTGAGGCATTTTCCAAAATGCCTGCCTTGGTTGAAGGTATGACTATTAAACCCTGCAGGTACCACATGAAGTGTAAGGCATGCGCAGCAAACAAGGTAAAAATGGCTGCAAAAGGTAAGATGTCTAGTAGGCAAGCTACAGAACCATACCAGGTAATGCATGCTGATTTAGTTGGTCCACTATTGCCCTCTTTGGGTGGAAACAGGTACTTCATGGTTCTCATTGACTCATTTTCCAGGTATATTTATGTGTTCAATCTCAAGCAGAAATCAGAGGCATTTCCAAGGCTCCAGAGGTTTTTCACAGGTACCAGGAGAAGACTATCACGAGACCTACTCACCCACCGTGAGGTATGAGAGCATTAGGCTTATGCTCAAGCTTGCTGCAGAAGAGAATCTTCACATTTCTCACCACGACGTGAATACAGCATTTTTGTACGGATCTCTAGGTGAATCACTTTATATGCTTCCACCTGATGGCGTACAGGTAAAACAGGGATTTGTTTGTTCTCTGAAGAAATCACTTTATGGTCTCAAACAGAGTGCACGATGTTGGCATACTAAACTCACAGAAGTATTGTTTTCTCTAGGTTTTCAGCAAGGGAAAGCTGATCCATGTGTATTTGTCAAAGAGGAAGGGCAAAAGAAGCTGTATTGTTTATTTTATGTTGATGATATACTTTTCTTTTGGGAAGATGTTAAAATGTACAATAATGCCCTAGCTCAACTGAAAGAGCACTTTGACATGAAAGATCTTGGTGAGGTAACCAACTACCTATCTGTGGAAATAGAGAGAGATCCGGATGGTAACATTCTAGTACACCAGTCACGGAAAATTGCTGATGTGTTAAGCAGACTAAACCTGATGGATGCTAACCCTGTAGACACACCGATGACAACAGGTTATTAGATAGATGACACTGAAGGAGCATTTTCTGACACTACACTGTACAGAAGTGTGCTAGGCAAACTAAACTTCATTGCCAGATGTTCAAGACCTGACATTGCTGTTAGCTGTAATTTGCTAAGCAGACAAGTCAACAATCCTACTGTTAAGGATTGGAAAGCTCTGAAACGCATAGCTCGCTATTTGAAAGGCACTATGCATTACAGACAGGTTTAACAATCAGAAGTCTGGTGGTCTTGAGATATTTGCAGATGCAAGTTTTGGAAGTGACACTACAGACAGGAAAAGTACGTCTGGAGTTTGCTACATGTACAATCGGTCTATTTGATTGGTCATGCAAGAAGCAGACAACAGTTAGTTTAAGCACTTGTGAAGCTGAACTGAATGCACTGTCTTATTCACTTAAGGATTGTGAATGGTTGTTACAATTGTGCAAAGACATGAAAATTCCTGTCAAATGTCCAATCCAGGTTTACCAGGACAACAAAGCATGTTTGGCTTTGCTGAATTCTGAAGGTTGTAAGCAAAGCACGAAGCACTTACAATTGAAGTTGCAACATGCTAGGGAATGTGTACAGAAGGGACTCGTAACGGTGTCCTATATGCCAGGTAATGAAATTCCTGCTGATGTATTGTCCAAGATTGTTCCAAGGGATCAACACTGTACCTATGTACAAAAGTTGGGTTTGTACTGATATTGTACGAACACGCTGCCCAGTGATGTTCACAGAAAGGGGGAGGATGTTGGTTTCTATTTCCCTCACTGAGCAGCAAATGCATGTCACAAGACAGTGTTTACATTCCACAGTTCAAGTTACTGTTGGATTCCCACAGGAAAGGGAGACTGGATGTGACATACACTGGTTTCCTGTTTCTTTGTTCTGTTTCTTTGTTGAGAGTTGTTACCGGAAAATCCGAGGGCTCCCTTGGACAAAAACAAAGACACCAACCAGAGCAAATTGGAAGCAAATCAGCAACCTGTAGGCTTGGTCTTTATTGAAGAAAAGACTGTCACGACAGGACTCCCACCGCCCACGAGGTGAAGCAAGATGGAAGCCCAGAACAAAAGAAGACCCCAACTTTTATTAGCTCCTAATCCCCTAAGTTACACCCCTGGAAATACATCATATTTACATCATGACTACATTAAGAACAGGAGTCAGGGGAGGGGTCGCACAGGTAATCCGAGTATCCCGACACCTGGCGGGAGCCCCATCCCTTCCTCCCCATAAGTCTTTTTCAGAAAACAAAGGGAAAGGCGCAGTTTCCTGCCCCCGAGGGGAATCCGGTCACAATCCCTTTGTCATAGTCCTTGTTGAATACACTAGTGTATGCAGTTCATTGTGTCTTTGATAGTCCTTCGTCTGAGCCCATCAAGATGACTATCAAGGTTGCTGTGTCAACTGGGGAAGGGCTGCAGAGTACGTGCCTGCTCGGTCAAGGGATTATGGCTGACTGGCATCAAACCACCCCCTTTGACAGTCCTTGTGATATGGAGTAGAATAAAAGTGGTCCGGTGAAAATCCGATATATGGTTGATTTATGGTGAATTTATGAAGAATACTGTTGTTGAAGTTCAAAGCACTTTCACTTTTCAGGAACGGTTGCAACATTTTGATTAAATCAGTCACGGTCAATTGAACTCGGAAACTTTGTATTAGGAGGCTGTCAAAGACAGAGAAGCGAGAGCCTGCTGCCTGCAGTACCAGCGTGGCCGCCATAAGAGGCGCTGTTCGGTAACGCTGATTGGCTGAAACGGCAGCCGACTGACCCGGAGTTCAGGCGGCCGGTCTACTCATGATAAAGATAGGGCGAAGTGGGACGTTGTAAGAAAATAAAGGAGTTCTATGGGAAATCAGCGCTTCCTTATTTACGGAAGGCTATCGTTCGTTGGGGTGATGCCCCTCTAGAAGGGGCATCTCCCAGTTCGGGGAGGTGGGAGGTGTGTGTGGTGCTTGTGCATTACGATGTAATGAAGGGGGGGTCTCCGGTGACAGTGTTGCTCTCTGCTCTCACAGAGGCAAGATGTACGTTTGTGTGTTCTCGGTATAGAAATAAAAATTAGCATGTAGCACAATACCTGCTTATCCTTTTGTTGCGGACTAAGAGATTACACTCTGCTGTATCAGCTCCAGATGGGCCGGAGCGGATCAAACATAACAAGAACTTCGAATATACTCTATGCATCTAATGGCTGATGTATATTAAGATCTGCACTCCAACTGAAGCTCCTTCCACACTGACTGAAGCTCTTTCCACATTCCATATATTTAAATGATTTCTTGCTGGTGTATGGCTGTTGATGTTTTCTATGTGCTCCACAATCAGTAAAGCTCTTTGCACACACAATCCTCACATTTAAATGCTTCCCCCCCGGTGTGAATGTTCTCTGGTGTCTTTAGCATGTCTGCTTTGACCGAGGCTCATTCCACACTCCTTACATTTAAATGGTTATTCTCTGGTGTGAGTTCGCCGATGTCTCTTAAAGTTTCCACTTTGACTAAAGCTTTTTCCACATTCCATACATTTAAATGGTTTCTCCTTTGTGTGAGTCTGTAGATGGCTTCTAAGGGTTCCACCATTACGGAAGCTCTTTCCACACTCCATACATTTAAATGGTTTCTCCCCTGTGTGAGTTCTTTGGTGGCTTTTATAATTTCCACTTTGACTGAAGCTCTTTCCACACTCTATACAGTTATATGGGTTCTCCCCTGTGTGAGTTCTTTGGTGCAGTCTAAGGTTTTTGGTTGAAGTGAAGCTCTTTCCACACTCCATACATTTATATGGTTTCTCCCCTGTGTGAGTTCGCTGATGTATTCTAAAGGTTACACTATGACGAAAACTCTTTCCACATTCCATACATTTAAATGGCTTCTCCCCTGTGTGAGTTCTTTGGTGGCTTTTATAATTTCCACTTTGACTGAAGCTCTTTCCACACTCTTTACAGTTATATGGGTTCTCCCCTGTGTGAGTTCTTTGGTGCAGCCTAAGGTATCCACTTTGACTGAAGCTCTTTCCACACTCCATACATTTAAATGATTTCTCCCCTGTGTGAGTTTTCTGATGTGTTCTGAGGTATCCACTTTGACTGAAGCTCTTCCCACATTCCATACATTTAAATGGTTTCTTCCCTGTGTGAGTTTGCTGATGTATTTGAAGGGCCCCACTTTGATGGAAGCTCTTTCCACACTCCATACAGTGGAATGGTTTCTCCCCTGTGTGTGTTTTCTGATGTTTACTAAGGTTTGCACTTTGACTGAAGTTCTTTCCACATTCCATACATTTAAATGGTTTCATCCCTGTGTGAGTTCGCTGATGTATTGTAAGGGCGTCCCTACGACCAAAGCTCTTTCCACATTCCATACATTTAAATGGTTTTTCTCCAGTGTGAATTCGCTGATGTGTCCTAAGCTGTCCACTTTGACTGAAGCTCTTTCCACACTCAATACATTTAAATGGTTTCTCTCCCGTGTGAATTCGCTGATGTGTTCTAAGGTCCCCACTTTGACTGAAGCTCTTTCCACACTCAATACATTTAAATGGTTTCTCCCTTGTGTGAATTCTTTGATGGATTCTAAGTGCTCCACGCTGACTGAAGCTCTTTCCACACTCCATGCATTTAATTGGTTTCTCTCCCTTGGGAGTTTGTTGATGTTTCCTATGAGTTTTGCTCCAGTTCAAGCTCTTTTTGCACTGCATAGCTTTAGATGGTTTCTCTTCTGTTGAGTTCATGATGGTAAACTCAGTGTGCACACTGACAGAAGAACATTATGTACATTTTAACTTTGCCTTCATTATTCTCAATGAAATTGAAGATGTCTCCTCAGAATTTGGATCGCCTTCTCCTTTGGGGGGAAAGAAAACCATTTTAGGGTTTCACAGAAGAGGGAAAAGGAACTTAACACAAAGTGAGCCTAATTAACACCACCGTCTTTTTTTTAAAAAAGCATCTCCTAGATTCTCCCCTCTCTTCTCTATGTCTCCCTGAGGAAGTATGGCCAGGGAATGGACCACCTGATCTCATGCCCGTCTTGTGATATACAACTATCCTTGTGGAAATTATCTGTCCAGGACTCTCTCACTTTCCTTTCTCCTTTTGGGTGGGTGGCTAAGCAAATATGTGTGACACTGAAAAAGCTGAATTCTAATGGGAAGACTTTCAGAGGAAAATATCCTTTGGAATAATATACCAATTTCATGTAAACTGTCAATTGGATTACAGAAGCGGATTATGCATTTCCTAAATGTGGCCAAAAGACTGATACTGATAAATTAGAGGAATAAAGATATGTCCCCCATTAATTAATTAATTAATTAATTAATATTATTATTAATAATAATAATAATAATTTATATTATTCAAACCCCGGCCATCCGGCTGGGTTTCCCCAGTCCTCTGGGCAGCACCAAACAAAATATTAAAAACATGATAAAACAGCACACATTGATTTCCGGTTGGTCCACAGAGCTGAGAAGAGACGGGACTCAGCCCTTAGGGGGAGTTCAGCTCCTTGCGAGACAAAGGGGGAGTCTGCAAGGGTGCCGCAGCCCCCTCAAAACACTCAAAAAAGGATTATTTTGAGGCCAGCTGCGCCATAAGGATGGGATGCAGGCAAGGCAGTCATGAGAGGATTCTTTATTCAACAGAATAGAATATATAGAAGATTCAGAGAAAAGAAAAAGATGGAAATTTTAAATGAGATAACGGAAAATGAAAAAAGCTAGCTAAAAAGCCAAATGATATCACGATTAATCAAAATATTAAGATATTACAAAGTCAATTTTCAACAATTGTGAATCAGGAAGTAGAATGGAAAATTAAAATGATGAAACAAAAGAACTTTGAATAGGCAAATAAACCAGGAAAATGGCTAGCATGGCAGATAAACAAAAGAAAATCTCAAAAGACAATTAATAAAATGAAAATTGGAGAGAAAGAACTAGAGAATCCGAAAGAAATAAGAAAATGATTTGTAAACTTCTACCGACAATTGTATAAAAAAGGTGGAAAAGAGAACATAGTCAAAATAGAAGAATTTTTAAAGAAGAATGGATTGCAACAAATCCCACAGAAAAGGACAGACTGAATGAATTAATAGAAGGGAAAGAAATTTCGAGAGCAAGAAAAGACTTAAAATCAGGAAAAGCACTAGGACTGGATGAATACTTGACGGCCATGAATGAAAAGCAGGCAGCCATAATATTTGTGGAAGCTGAGAAGGCCTTTGATAATATATTTGGGAATTTATGATTAAAAACTTAGAAATGATGGAAATGGGTCAATTGTTTATGAGCAGTTTAAAAGCAGTATATTCAAGTCAAAAGGCAAAACCTATTGTGGATAATGTATTAACAGAAAATATTGAAATTACAAAAGGGACAAGACAAGGGTGTCCACTATCACCGTTGTTATTCATATCGCTTCTGGAATTCTCCTGAATTAAAGGCTAGCAGAAGGAATTAAAGGAATATCAGTCAGAAGGAAAGAATATAAAGTAAAAGCCTTTATGGATGACTTAGTAATAACAATTGAACCAATAACAAGTTCGAAGGAAGTACTAGAAAAAAGTGAATAGTTTAGACAAGTAAATAAAAATAAAAAGTTTGTTAAAAATTTGAACAAAAAGATGGTGGACCATTTGCAACAACAAACAGAAATAGGGGTGGTAAAGAAAGTGAAATACCTAAGAATATTGTTAACCCCCCAAAATATAAATTGATATCAAGACAACCACAACCAGGTATGGAATAAGATTAAGAGAGATTTGGAAGTGTGGGGAAGGATGAAATTATCACTTTGGGGAAGGATATCAGTTATAAAAATGATTTTGTGCTATCAAAAATGTTATTTTTCTTTCAGTCAATTGATGGAGTACAGAGTATTAGCTAAGATGACCGGGAGAATTGGAGAACAGCGGGACCAAAAATTCCTGAAGGACTGGAGTAAATTTGTGAATTATTTGTAGGACAATGGTATTCAGTTGAATACGCTTGTAGGATAACAAGAAGTCTTGTGAAAAATGGAGATAAGAAATATTGTTAATCAAGGTTAAAAGATAGGATGTTAACATTTTGATTATATAAACAGTAGTAAAGACACAAAATGTAAACAGAAGAGAGAGATAGGGTGAAATCATTAGAAGGGAATGATGTAAGTCACTGGCTAAAAATAGCCAAGATGTGTAAGAGATGATAAGATGGATGTTTTGTTTGGAAAGTTTATGTTAAAAATCATTAATAATAATAATAATAATAACATCAAACATCGAAAAATTCCCTAAACAGAGCTGCCTTCAGATCGATTGATGATATGACAACACAACGCTTGAATGGATTGCTTATAGACGTAGACTTTGTTCAGATAAACAGAATGACATGTGGAATAAGTTCATAGAGAATATAGTAGATATCTAATAAACATATGTACAGTATGAGAATATTTAATATTATGGTATTATTTAAACTTTTTTCTCTTCTCTCTCTTTTATCTGTTCTCACTTTATTTTCTATAACTGAAATTATTTCAGTCAGTTAGTTCCCAACAACCAGCATTCTTCTCCTTCCACCTTCAGAGGTATTATTCATCTGAATCCCAGGAGATGGGAATCACGGCTGGGAAGGGAGCTTTTGCCCTCAGGCCCTGCTGGTGAGTTTCTCCTTGGCTGGTGTCATGGTATTGCCAGAGAATGAAGGGGAGGAGCAGAGACAGGTAGGAAGGGGGCAGGAAGTAGAGACTGAGGAAAGAAGGGAAAGCCAGGAGGTGGAACGGCTCACAGATGTTGAACCAGAGCCTCAACACCGTACCGGAAGTTCTGGCACAGACAGTGAAACAATGCCTATTCCGTCTGCCAAAGAAAGGAGAGTGTTAAAGAGGAGGGAACGGAAGCATCACGGGAAACTTCCCCGCCTTTTCTGTTGGAGAGGGGCAGGCATAAGTCACTCCCAGAATCTGAGCCGGAGGATTCGGATGCCTGATTGTAACGTGCTGCTTGTACATATGTAAAATAAAGACTGTATATATGTATCTCTGAGTGAGCAGAGGCATTTCTTGCAAAGAGCATTCACAAGTCATCACAGCTGGTCACTCTGAGAACAGGATGCTGGAAAAGAGGGGCCATTCTGTGTTCGGAATTAGTGTAAAAACTGGGCCAGTGGATCTCAAAAGACCGCTATCTTTGTTCATTATCTGAATAAGGAGAGTTTTGGGGAGTTGCCCACCACCTGCAAGGTCAAAGAAATGAAGTCATTTGACCTGCACAGTTTTCCTGGAAATGGGAAGGTGTGGAACTGAATTTCAGAGGAGATTCTGTGGACTGTGGCTTGCTCACTCGCACGTTCCATCTGGATTGTGCCTTTTTCAGGACGGAGAGTGAAAGATTCTCTCTAAGGATTGCCTTCACAAGGGCTCTGGTGCCTGTTTATGGACTCTGGGCTTATTTGCAACCATTCAGATGTGATTGGCCAGGACTAAGCCATTCCACTTGAAGTCTGGAATGTCATGTGGATTTATAGCTCTTCTGCGTGCTTTGCTTTCCTATGCTCTGAATGCTGCTGTTTGTGTGAACTCTGCGGAGAGGCCAGTTTGGCGAAGTGATATTGGACCCAAGTAGTCAGTGAATTATGAGCAGAATACCACAATTCCTTAATATCCTACTGACCTGGAAGGGCTCTTTCTATGTTCCCACACGCTGAAAGGAAACACACAAAGATACAGTCTCACAGAAAAGTGGAAGTACAGACCTCTCAATTTCTCCAGGACACGCCTCCGCGATTTTCTGTTTCAATGCAGCTGATGTCAGACTGCTGTACCAGAGTCTCTCCTAACTGGAATAAATAAAACAGAAGTGTTATTGATGTCCTATGTGCTTGTTAAAAGTATTCAAAAATATTCATCTTTAGAAGCAGAGCTAACAAAGTATCTAGTGGCCCATTAAAGGCTAATGGGCTTTGGTTTTTGTGGGCACCAGTCCGATGATGTAGACAAGAAAGCTCAAAATTCCAGGATTCCTATAAACTATAATCCCACCAATTTACTATGTTTCACAGTTTGCAGGATTGACAAGTTGACAAACAATAAAAAAATTCCTTCCAGTAGCACCTTAGAAACCAACTAGGTTTGTTACTGATATGAGCTTTTGTGTGCATGCACACTTCTTCAGATACACAGTGTGCATGCACATGAAAGCTCATACCAAGAACAAACTTAGTTGAACTCTAAGGTGCTACTGGAAGCATTTTTTAAATTTTGTTTTAACTCTGGCAGCCCAATACGGCTATCTAACTGTATCTAGAATTTGACACACCTTACTTGTAATACAAGTGGTACCTTGGTTTGCAAACAGTTTGGATTACAAACACGTCAAACCCGGAAGTGCGTGTCCCGGTTTGCAAACTTTTTTGGGATTACAACCCCAAAAATTTTGGAGGCCCCATTGGCGAAAATGCACCTTGTGTTACAACCTGTTTTGGTTTACAAACGGAGCTCCGGAACGGCTTATGGTGGTAAACCAAGCCACCACTGTGCAGGCAATCCTTGTCCTGCAATCCAGTCAGATGGGAGGCATTTAATGAATTATTATTATTATTATTATTATTATTGTTATTCATGTACCTACATGTAAACCTTACAGCAATGGGCATTGTCTATCATGATCTTGGGTCCTTTACCCTTGAAGCCCACCAGACTGAGAAAGTGCATACACCCATATCTTTTGATGCTGATACATTGTATCGCAGCTTGTAACTCACTCCTCCAAAAATAAGAAGTAATCAAGATGCTTTCAATATATCAGTAAACCCTGGAAGCATTTCCACAGCACCCTCCGCCCATATTTTTGGACTGGTGTTCAACAGCATCAGTCGTGCAGTGGAAAGTGAACATTGGTACTGACCGTGATAGGTTCCTTCTCTGCATTGAGGATGGGGGTACTTTGTGGGGTGTCAACACCCCCCTCTCCCCAGGAAGGAAGTCAAACTTTCGAGATGGGCAGACAACCCTTTTCACCAGCTCAATTTGCGCTTAAGCAGGTAACTGTATAGCAAGAAATAAACAGAACAGGAATAAAAAGGAAGACAACTTCTTTGGATAAAGGAACTCAGTGGTCCCACAGTTACTCTGGAGAACTTCCTAAAGGTCCCTGTAAGGTAGTCCAGGTAAAGAAGAGAAGAAAACCCAGGTAAGGGAGGAAGAGTAAGAGAAGGGAGAAGGAGGGGAAGGAGACACAGGAGGATTCTGGACATTTGGGTGGGGGAGTCCCAACCCCCAGGACAACCCTTGTTTCTCTGAATCTGATGGTCTCCCCCTCCTCAGAGAGTGAAAAGGCCGCAGGAAGAGAAGAGAGGAAAGCGGAGACAGGAGACAAAGGAGGAGAAAGGGAAGAAGAAAGGAAGATCCCTTCCGAAACGGCGTTCATGCCTTTCCTCTTCTGCCCTCCCTGGAGCTCTGATGCAGCTGACCTGGCCAGGGGGTTGCTTTCCCACCAGGCCTACCCTCTTGAAATTTGGACCTCCTGCCAGCACACAGGTGGGCCAGGACCACCCACACGGGACCTCCCTCCTGCAATAAACTCGAAGCCTGAGCGAGGGAGGAAGTTTCCGGTAACTTAAGGGAGGGGGTTCCTCCCAGGATCTACCTGCCTTTTCTCTCCAGTGGCTGGAAAGAAGCATCCTGGAAAGAACTGGGTGGGGAAATGGGACCCCCCCGTTCTTCAAGGATCCCTCCCTGTCCCTCTCTCCAAGGCAGATTTCTTGCCAGGAAGGGAAAAGCCAAGGCCGCCCCTCCGGAGATTCCCCCGCCAGCGCCCAAGATGGAGACATCTCTTCCAAAAGGCGACGGGTCTCTCCCTCACTCTCTCCCCCCCGCCCACAGGATTCCCCCCTCCCCCGCCACGAATGCTTCCATTGATCCCCCAGCCTCCAAGCTTCCTCTGCCCTCCTCCCTCCGTCCCTGAGACGCCCCTGCGCCCAGAAACCCCCCTTGGCTCCGCTCACCCCTCGCCCCCAAATGCGCGTGGCGCGGGTGCTTCCAAGGAGAAGGCGCCACGGAATCCCAGCAGGGGCTTCCTCTGTAGAAAGGAGCCCTGCACCCCCGCCCTTGTGAATGTCCCATAGTGCTAGAGAGAGAGAGAGAGAGAGAGAGAGAGAGATCTTTTGTGGGGGAGGGGCTCCAAAGGAGATCGAGCCATGCAAGTCCTGCAGGTCTTGGGTCCCCACTTCGCAGCGGGATTGCATGGATCCAGACCCTCCTGATGGGCCCCAGTAAAGGCGCTTTGGGGGAAGGTGGGGAGATATGGAGGGGTCTCTGTCCTTTCCTCCCCCCTCCCCAATCACTGCATCTTTACCCCTTTGTCCTCTCTTCTGCCCCTCCGCCTCCCTTGCTCGCTCTTCCGATGTCTTTTCCTGCAACAGAAAGAGCAGGGCGGGAGGAGTTAGTCCAGCGACGCCCCCCCCTTTCTCAAGCCCCTCCCGATGCTCCTTTTTCCCGCCTGCCTTGAAAATTCCGGCCCATAGAGCTATGGGGCAGAGCAGCCCCTGCCGGTGCTCGGATGGGATCCGGCACTGAGGATTTCCCCAGGGGTTGTATGGGAGGCCTCTCTATCTCTCTCCTCTCTATGATAGAGGGGGGGCTGTTCTTCCCTGCTCAGTTCCTCTGGGATCCTGCATCTCAGCCCGCAAGGCCCCTTTTCTGCGCTTACACCAAGCTTGCAAGGCGGTTCTTTGGCCACTGCTTCCCTGCCTCTGCTTTACAGGAAGAGCAGCAAACTCTGCACATGCCCAGAGAATACTGTATGAACTCCCACCACACCGTTTTCACTTTTAGTTTGCCACTAAACGAACCACCAGTCAATAATGCCGGGCCCCACGTGGATCATGAACCCGCAACCCTGAAAGGAGGGGCCTCATGCTGTGCCCACTGAGCTCTCCCACCTTTCGCCCCTAAGGGACCGGGGCCCCTAGGAGGTGGCCCCTCTGGATGCACCTTTCCCAGCACGGGAGCCTAGCCGAGCGTTGCCACGTCCAGAATCTGGTGGGATCCCATGGCGGGATCCCTCCCGGTGCCTTGCCCACTTTCTCCCTGGGCAGAAATCCCCGAGCGGCGAGGCCACCTAAGGGTTAAGGGGAGAGAGAGAAAAAAGGCCCCTCTCCCCATCACCCCACTTCTCTTTCCGCTTGTTTTGGGAGGCCTCTGGGGTGGCAAGTCCTTTGGGTGAAGGGGAGGTTCTGGGGCAGCTGGGGCGCAGAAAAGGCTGTTGGGGGGCTGAGAGATGAATTGGAGGATCCCCTGGGTGGGTGGGTGGAAAGGAAACCCAAGGCCTTTGAGGTCCTTGCAACCCCCTGCCCAACCCCCACGAACCCGGGGGGGGGGAGAGCTCTTTGGGGGGCTCAGAAATGGGTGTCCCTTGAGAAGGGGGGAGGACTCCAAGTGGGGAAAGAGGGTGGGCCCCTGTATTTGGTAGATGCTTTCTTTGTGACCCCTGCATTGCGGAGGGGTTGGACTAGATGACCCTGGGGGTCCCTTCGAGCTCCACCGTTTTATGGTTCTGGTGGGTAGAGGACAGATTGAATTAGTATCACCAGAAAACATTTTAAAACGGAGCTCCTTGTGTGACCTGAACTGTGGGTTCTCACATATGTTAATGTCCAAAATTCAGCATTCGATTGACGTTGGAGAGAGACTAAGTTGAGAAATAAGACCAAGGGTAGATATTGATATTGCAATGTATTAGATAAAATGTAAAGAAATATACAATAAGAAGAGTACATTCATTTGTAAAAAAGGAATATACAGTGGTACCTCTGGATGCGAACGGGATTGTGTTCTGTTACTTCCAGGTGCCCGCGGAATTCAACCAGAAACGCTCAACCCGAAGCTACTTTAACCTGAGGTATGACTGTACAACGGGATAGACAGTAAGTCTGAAGTGTTGGAATATATATGATTTTGGAATAGTTTTTTGTCCTTGTGTCCCCCCCCTTTAAGTATATAAACTTTGTATACAAGCTGAAAATTACAGTATAATAAGCCTTGTGATATAATATGATTATGTTAACCGATGTAACATAAGAACATTAATAAATAAATAAAACTGGAAGGCCCACCCCCCAAGTTTATTATTATTATTGGGCAAAAAAATTCCTGCATTGCAGGGGTTGGACTTGATGACCCTCAGGGGTCCCTTGCAACTCTGTAGTTCTATGATTCACCACCCGTCAATAATGTGGGGGACTCACCCGCTAACTGCCCCCTATTAAATATACAGTGGTACCTCGGGTTACATATGCTTCAGGTACATACGCTTCAGGTTACAGACTCAGCTAACCCAGAAATAGTGCTTCAGGTTAAGAACTTTGCTTCAGGATGAGAAAAGAAATCGTGCCACGCGGCACGGCAGCAGCTGGAGGCCCCATTAGCTAAAATGGTGCTTCAGGTTAAGAACAGTTTCAGGTTAAGTACGGACCTCCAGAACGAATTAAGTACTTAACCCAAGGTACCACTGTAGCGCGCACATCTCACTGGATGCAAACTACAAAAATCCATACAATTTACCACAGTTTATCTTGTAGTGAGTGAATATTTTCTCGGGCAGAAGTTGAACAAACAACAAGGAGAGTTTTATTAATAAAAAGAAGCTTTTGAAAGAAGTGGGTCAGGAAATGTGTTCTCCTAGGTAGAAGTCACCTTATTTACTTAAACTTTAAGATGTCTCAGGCTTAAACACAGGATTACAGTCAAAGCTTCTCTTAAGCTCTCTTCACTAAAAAAAAGTTGTTATACTTCCTTTTCTGTTACTTAGTTATGACAGGTGGTTCAGTTAAATACAGCACATCTTACTTCCCCAATCAATACCCTGGTTCATGAGCGAGGGCACTTTTCCCCAGCTCCCCCTCTAAGCAACCCCACTGCTGAGGTAATTCCAAAATGGCGTAACAGGCCCAGGGGTCCCCCTCCCCCTTTGTGACTGGCTTGGGGGGTCTTCTCTCCCTAGAAGAACTACCCCCTCCTGACTGGAAGGGGACCCAGGGGAGCCTGAATCCCCCAGGATCTGCTTCTCCTGCCTCAAGAGTCAGCCCTCCCAGGACACCAGTTTGTAAACCTTCCCCAGACCCCCAACCGGGTCTCCTTCTCCAGGCTGGGAGGGTCTTTCCTCTCTCAGGGAGAGTGTTCAACTCAAACCAGAACCAGTTCTCCCTCAGGCAAATCCTATCCTCCTCCCCAACTCCCACCTCAAAACAATCCCTCTTCATCTTCTCTCATATCAAACCCTATCTAACTCTCTCCCTCAGAAATGGCTCCTTTTATTTTCCCTCCAAAAGTGCTGTTGTCCAATCAGAGAGAGGTTCCATCCCTCTGGTGGAATTTCTGGGGGACTGAATGACCAGACTCTGGTCCAGCTCTGCTGTCCGTCACACTTCTGCCTGACAACAACCAGTACAGGTCATCTGTAGGAAATTTCTGACCCTGATCACAACCACCAGACCTACTAAAGGTCAATACTTTGTAAGGAAAACTTCAGGAACCTGGAATCTCCATGTATCTACATCACCTTTGGTTTCACGATATGGCAGTTCATAGAGCAGAGGTGGGGAAAGCAGGAGTTTGCCTGTGAGAGGAAGAGTTTGGGGCTCCTTGTGAAAGGGGATTCCAGGAACCAGGAACAACTTCAGACAAGGCCTTTCCTAGGATGGAAAGAGAGTGAGGGAAATCTGATACTCCCTTATTCCTTTTGAAATAGTTTATTCCAGGCTTTAAGATACGGGGTAAGAATTTCCTTCCAAACTACCCCTCAATGGCCAATGCCAGGGGAAGGAATAACACCTCAAAGAAAAACACAGTCAAGAGATAGGAAAATTCAACGTCCGGAAGGGACCCAGTTTATAGAGAGAAATGCTATTGCAATAACTCCAGCGACTCAAAACCAGAGGTTCATTTTAGTACAACTTTGAGAGGGATTTTTTGAGAAAGGTACAGGCATTAGCTCATAGAAGTTATACATGTACTGGAAGGTCACAGGTCAGGGAGCTAAAACGGTTCTTCTGTCCATTATTTTGGGTATCCTGGTGTCTTGCTGTCTTAGGATTTACATTTCATTCATTTATTGTCCATCAACCTGACAACCAGACCTTTAGAAAGTCCTTAGCTTACCATTCCAATGGCTCCCAATGCCTGGGAAGAAGACTCAAGGGAAGAAGAGTCGGTTACATAAATCTTCTATTTCTAAACGTTTTAAGCAATAGTTTGAAAGATAAGCGGGTGGAAGTCGGGGTTGAGAAGTCCACGTAGCCTAGAAATTATTAGGGCACTGAGACATAGCTTCTATCAGAGAAAGTAAGATGAAGGTATAACAAAGGTACGTATGTTTCATTCACAGTTAGGTTATATGAATTCTATCATATGCTAAATGGGTTAACTAATTTTACAACAGAAACACCAGTTCAGTCTCGACTTGAGAGGTTGCATAACGTGGGGGCAGATACAGAAGGCAGATCCAGAACCCCAAAGAGAAACAAGGATGCAGCAGCTGATCTAGAACACTCTTTCCCTCCAAGCCCTATTAATGGATCCTTCTCTAGGAGGACTTGGAGGAGCCACAGACCCTTGGGAAGGAGAGAGGAGCAAAGGATGCCCCAGAGCCCCTCTGGAGAAGTTACTGACAGCACCCAAAACAGAATCACCCACCCAAGGCCATGTTTCTCTTTCTCCACCACCTTCTCTTCCCCCAGTTGCTTTTATTCATCTAGAGGAGCGGGGGAGGGAGTCTCTTTCACACCCCTCTGGACACCCCAGGAACCCTGCTTTCTTCATTCCTCTATTCCTGCTGCCACTGGAAATAATGTTTTATCTGAACATTGTGCGCTTCAGAGAACCAAGTAAGAGGAAGGGTTGTAACACAATTAGTGTATCAATTATAAAAACTACAGAAGGGGTTTATGCACATAAGAAGTTGGCCTCACTCTTTCTGTGTCTTATTTGTTCATTTAGTATAATTACAACAATAGGTGTTATACGGTTGTTCGTATACTACTAATATAACGAACCCTGCTTCCAAAGCATCACAACTTTCACCCTGTAATTTCCACAATGCTCTATTAGCAATCCTGAAACATCAACATTTCCAACTCTCTCTACCAAAGACTGAACTTCAGCCGACTCAAAGAGCATCAACACTGACCACCAGCATTGCAGGTTCACGCTCTCTGCAAACAGTTCATGACATATGATATTGCATTTACTATTGTGAGACATCACCTTCATTACTTGAATACATGGGTACAAATTTACATGCAGACACCAGAACTTCGCATGTACTCTATGCATCTAACGGCTGATGTATATTAAGATCTGCACTCCAACTGAAGCTCCTTCCACACTGACTGAAGCTCTTTCCAGATTCCATATATTTAAATGATTTCTCACTATCAGTAAAGCTCTTTGCACACAAAATCCTCACATTTAAATGCTTTCCCCCCTGCTGTGAATGTTCTCTGGTGTCTTTAAAATGTCCGCTTTGACCGAGTTTCTTTCCACACTCCTTACAATTCAATGGTTATTCTCTGGTGTGAGTTCGCTGATGTCTCTTAAGGTTTCCACTTTGACTGAAGCTTTTTCCACATTCCATACATTTAAATGGTTTCTCCTTTGTGTGAGTCTGTAGATGGCTTCTAAGGATTCCACCAATACGGAAGCTCTTTCCACACTCCATACATTTAAATGGTTTCTCCCCTGTGTGTGTTCTTTGGTGGCTTTTATAATTTCCACTTTGACTGAAGCTCTTTCCACAGTCTATACAGTTATATGGGTTCTCCCCTGTGTGAATTCTTTGGTGCAGTCTAAGGTTTTTGGTTGAAGTGAAGCTCTTTCCACACTCCATACATTTATAAGGTTTCTCCCCTGTGTGAGTTCGCTGATGTATTCTAAAGGTTACACTATGACGAAAACTCTTTCCACACTCCATACATTTAAATGGTTTCTCCCCTGTGTGTGTTCTTTGGTGTTTTTTATAATTTCCAATTTGACTGAAGCTCTTTCCACACTCTTTACAGTTATATGGGTTCTCCCCTGTGTGAGTTCTTTGGTGCAGTCTGAGTACACTTTGACTGAAGCTCTTTCCACACTCCATACATTTAAATGGTTTCTCCCCTGTGTGAGTTTTCTGATGTGTTCTGAGGTATCCACTTTGACTGAAGCTCTTCCCACATTCCATACATTTAAATGGTTTCTCCCCTGTGTGAGTTTGCTGATGTGTTCTGAGATATCCACTTTGACTGAAGCTCTTCCCACATTCCATACATTTAAATGGTTTCTCCCCTGTGTGAGTTTTCTGATGTGTTCTGAGGTTTCCACTTTGACTGAAGTTCTTTCCACATTCCATACATTTAAATGGTTTCATCCCTGTGTGAGTTTGCTGATGTATTGTAAGGGCGTCCCTACGACCAAAGCTCTTTCCACATTCCATGCATTTAAATGGTTTCTTTCCCGTGTGAATTTGCTGATGTGTTCTAAGGTTCCCACTTTGACTGAAGCTCTTTCCACACTCAACACATTTAAATGGTTTCTCACCCTGGGGCATTTGTTGATGTTTCCTATGAGTTTTGCTCCAGTTCAAGCTCTTTTTGCACTGCATAGCTTTAGATGGTTTATCTTCTGTTGAGTTCATTATTGTAAACTCAGTGTGCACACAGACAGAAGAACATTATGCACATTTTAACTTTGTCTTCATTATTCTCAATGAAATTGAAGGTGTCTCCTCAGAATTTGGATCGCCTTCTCCTTTGGGGGGAAAGAAAACCATTTTAGGGTTTCACAGAAGAGGGAAAAGGAACTTAACACAAAGTGAGCCTAATTAACACCACCGTCTTTTTTATTTAAAAGCATCTCCTAGATTCTCTCCTCTCTTCTCTATGTCTCCCTGAGGAAGTATGGCCAGGGAATGGACCACCTGATCTCATGCCCGTCTTGTGATATAGAACTATCCTTGTGGAAATTATCTGTCCAGGACTCTCTCACTTTTCTTTCTCCTTTGGGGTGGGTGGTTAAGCAAATATGTGTGACACTGAAAAAGCTGAATTCTAATGGGAAGACTTTCAGAGGAAAATATCCTTTGGAATAATATACCAATTGCATGTAAGCTGTCAATTGGATTACAAAAGTGGATTATGCATTTCCTAAATGTGGCCAAAAGACTGATAAATTAGAGGAATAAAGATATGTTTCACCTTAATTAATTAATATAATATATCATTATTCAAACCCCATCCATAAGGCTGGGCAGCTCCCAACAGAATATTAAAGACACGCTAAAACATCAAACATCGACTTCCAGTTGGTCCACAGAGCTGAGAAGAGATGGGACTCAGCCCTTAGGGGAGAGTTCAGCTCTTTGCGAAAGAAAGGGGGAGTCTGCAAGGGCGCCGCAGCCCCCCCAAACCCTCAAAAGGATTATTTTGAGGCCACCAGCACCATAAGGACGTCTCTCCGGCGCCGAAAACGCTCCCCTTGGAGAGCGGAAAGTGCAGCGAGATCAAGACGCCAGCGCGGGATGCCATTAAGTACTCGGAGGATTGAAGCCTTGAGTCTATCCAGCACAGTGGCTGATTTTTGAACAAAAAGAAACCTGAATCTGGCAAAATGTTGGGAAATTCTAATTGAGAAAGATTCGGAAGACAGAAGGGATAAAAAAGGAGGCCAGCCCCGACTGTGATTGATTTACACTGCATGAATTACCTGCAAAACGGAGTAAGATTCTAATCTCCTACAGCGAATAAAAATAAATATACTTTTTTAGTTCTGAAGGTTTGGTTTACTGAAAGGGAGGTGGAAATCCCTAGAAAATAAACTTATTTGAAACCCTTTGGGAGTTGAAGGAGCCCGCTGGAGAAGGAGCTTCCGGCTTTTACTTTCAATTTTAATTTAAACTGTGCAATTTGTAAAAAATATGTTTATGGAGCTATTTTTGCGAGTTAAAATACCAGACCAGCAGAGACAAATATAAAAAGACTGCTAAAGTCTGGTACTGTAAGAAATTTGAGGAGATATTTACAGGAAGAGACTTGGGGACACCCTCCCCCTTTTGGTTAATGAGCATGATGGATTTATTTTCTCTCTCTCTTTTAACTTCACCTTTTTCATTGTTAAGACATTATAATTGTAGTGAATGCCTTCCTCTTTTCCTTTCTCCTGGAATATAATGCAGGGGAAGTTGGATTAAGCCACCAAGAGGCGGAAGAATTTGTTTTGTTTTGTTTTGTTGGTACTTGGTTTTGATTTCTTCTTTTTCTTGGGACGGGGACACAGTGGAAAGTGCGAAAATCTGTGTAAGTGGTGGAAGACGTTTTCTCCTGCTTTCTCTTTGTTTTTGTACAAATAATTATTGGATTATTGCAGCATTTACCCTTTGTCTCCCTCTCGGCTATATACATTTGATATAGAACTGGTTGGAGGCAAAAGGGCCACCTAGTGGTGAAAGAGGAAATAACAGTTTAAGAATGACATCATCACAGAAAAAAGGAGGGGAGGGGCAACATCAGGAGAGACCCAGAGAGGGTCAAAGCAAGAAATGGAAGGGAAAGGAGATGTTGCAAAAATGTTTGCAGAGCTGAAGAAAGATATTAAAGATATTAAACAAAGTGAGACAAATATGGAAAGTAGATGGGAGCAGATGGACAAAAAATTAGATTTAACTGTGAATGAGATGAAAGCCCAGATAAAAGATGTGAGCAAGAGAACACAAAATTTAGAGGAAAGATTGAAACCTATGCAACGAAAAGTAAGGAATTTAAAAAAGGAGGATGAGAAAAATAAAAGTGCAGTGTCAGAGCTGAATAAGGAACAGGAGGAATTGTGGGATGCAACTGTGGTGCAGGAATTGAAGCAAAGAGAGATAAATTTGAGAATCAGATCTCTCCCAGAAACAGCAGGACAGAATATTTTAGAAGAATTAATTATTGAAATTGCACAATGGCTAGGAATTGGAAAAGATGAATTTGCCAATACAGTATTGAATGCATTTAGGATAAAAGTTAAATCAAAAAAAGGAAAAAAGTTTCCAGGAGATTGTTTGATGATATTTAAAGATAAGTAGATGAGAAATTTAATTTTGCTAAAAAAATAAGAGAAAAGAAGTTCTATATTGATAGAGCAATGATATTCATATTTCAGGAAATTCCAGTTCGTCAGCTGAAATGAAGTGATGGATATAAACCTCTGACACAAGTGGTGAGAAAAAACAATATTGATTTTAAATGGGAGTATCTGGAAGGAGTCTCATTCTACTACAAGGAAAAGTTAAACTGAAAAAGATGAAGTAAAAAAATTCCTCCAGAGGTACAGGGAACTGGATAAAGAGGAAGAAGGGGCAGCAGCAGGAACAGATACCATAGACCAAGAAGTAGAAGTAGAAGATAATAAATTAGAAGAAGAAGAAGAGGAGGAGGAGGAAGGATAAGTTTAAAAGACTCTAGTTCACAAATAGTAGCAAAAACAAAACGGCATGAACACTTATGACATGGAGTCTTAATGGTTTGAATAACAAAACTAAAAGAAATAAAGTTGAAAAGATTCTATTAAAAAGAACTTAGATATTATTTGTTTTTGAGAGACTCATGTTGCAAGAAAACATAGAAGAATTTTGGTAAAAAAGAAATTAGGAAGTGAATTTATTTCATCAGACAGGAGTAAAAGAGGGGTGGTGTTGTATATAAAAATAAATATGAAGCAAGACAAATCTTTGTGGATCAAAAAATAATTATGGGGGACCTGAATGGGGTAATTTCATTGGAAATTGATAGAATGAGAAATGGGAATAGAATAGAAAGAAGGTAAACTACCCAAAACTTTCTTCTCTATGGTAGAAAGCTGCAATTTGATTGATGTGTGGAGATTAAAACACCCGTTGGAGAAACAATATACAGTGGTACCTCGGGTTAAGAACTTAATTCGTTCTTGAGGTCCGTTCTTAACCTGACACTGTTCTTAACCTGAGATACCACTTTAGCTAATAGGGTCTCCCGCTGATGCTACGAGATTTCTGTTCTTATCCTGAAGCAAAGTTCTTAACCCGAGATACTATTTCTGCTGTTTACCAGCTCCATCTGGTATGCAGGCTGAGACCCTATCTTCCCCTCGGACTGCTTCGCCAGAGTGGTGCATGCTCTGGTTATCTCTCGCTTGGAGTACTGCAATGCGCTCTATGTGGGGCTACCTTTGAAGGTGACCCAGATACTACAACTAATCCAGAATGCGGCAGCTAGACTGGTAACTGGGAGTGGCCGCCAAGACCACATAACATCGGTCTTGAAAGACCTACATTAGCTCCCAGTACGTTTCCGAGCACAATTCAAAGTAACCTTTATAGCCCTAAACAGCCTCAGTCCAGTATATCTGAAGGAGCATCTCCACCCCCATCGTTCTACCTGGACACTGAGGTTCAGCACCAAGGGCCTTCTGGCGGTTGCCTCACTGCGAGAAGCCAAGTTACAGGGAACCAGGCAGAGGGCCTTCTCGGTAGTGGCACCCATCCTGACAAACACCCTCCCACAAGATGTCAAAGAGAAAAACAACTACCAGACTTTTAGAAGACATCTGAAGGCAGCCCTGTTTGGGGAAGCTTTTAATGTTTGATGCATTACCGTATTTTAATATTTTGTTGGAAGCCGCCCAGAGTGCCTGAGGAAGCCCAGCCAGATGAGTGGGGTAAATAAGTAATAAATAAAAAAATAAATAAATAAAAGATGATGATAAAAATTTCAGCTAGACCCTACTGGCACCATTGGAGGAAGTAATGAACAATATTTTGAAAAAAGGAGAAACACCAGAGACTTGGAAAGAAGCATATATTACACTGATACCCAAACCAGACTCAGACATGACATGTTAAAAACTACAGGCCGATTTCTTTGTTGAACAGTGATTATAAACTATTTGCAAATATTAAGGTTTTCTTCCTGGCTGCCAGATGAAGGACAATATAAGGAATATTGTGAATATTATTGAATACTTGACGGCCAGGAATGAAAAGCAGGCAGCCATAATATTTGTGGATGCTGAAAAGGCCTTAAATTCTAGGGAATTTAAGATTAAAAACTTTGAAAGGATGGAAATGGGTCAATTGTTTATGAGAAGTTTAAAAGCAATATATTCCAGTCAAAAGGCAAAAATTATTGAAAATAATGTATTAACAGAAAATATTGAAATTACAAAAGGGACAAGACAAGGGTGTCCACTATCACCATTGTTATTCATATCGGTTCTGGAATTCTCCTGAATAATATAAGGTTAGCAGAAGGAATTAAAGGAATATCAGTCAGAAGGAAAGAATATAAAGTAAAAGCCTTTATGGATGACTTGGTAATAACAATTGAACCAATAACAAGTCCGAAGGAAGTACTAGAAAAAATTGAACAGTTTAGACAAGTAGCAGGCTTTAAAGTAAATAAAAATAAAAAGTTTGTTAAAAATATGGACAAAAAGATAGTGGATCAGTTGCAATAATAAACAGAAACAGGGGTGGTAAAGAAAGAATATTGTTAACCCACCAAAATATAAATTTCTATCAATAAAACCACAACCAGGTATGGAATAAGATTAAGAGAGATTTGGAAGTGTGGGGAAGGATGAAATTGTCACTTTGGGGAAGGATATCGGTTATAAAAATGAATGTGCTACCAAAAATGTTATATTTGATTCAGTCAATTGATGGAGTACACAGAATTAGCTAAGATGACCGGGAGAATCCGAGAACAGCGGGACCAAAAATTCCTGAAGGACTGGAGTAAATTTGTGAATTATTTGAAGGGCAATGGTGTTCAATTGAATACGCTTGGAGGATAACAAGAAGTCTTGTGAAAAATGGAGATAAGAAATATTGTTAATAAGAGTTAAAAGTCAGGATGTTAAGATTTTGATTATATAAACAGTAGTAAAGAGACAAATTGTAAACAGAAGAGAGATAGGATGAAATCATTAGAAGGGAATGATGGATGTCACTGGCTAAAAGTAGCCAAGATGTGTAAGCGATGATAAGATGGATGTTTTGTTTGGAAAGTTTATGTTAAAAATCTTTAATAATAATAATAATAATAATAATAATAACATCAAACATCAAAAACTTCCCTAAATAGGGCTGCCTTCAGATGAACTGACAATCTGAAAACACTCACAATGGTTGAATGGATTGCTTATAGACGTAGACTTTGTTTGGATAAACAAGGGCTCTGGTGCCTGTTTATGGACTCTGTGCTTATTTGCAACCATTCAGATGTAATTGGCCAGTACTTGAAGTCTGGAATGTCATGTGGATTTATAGCTTTTCTTCGTGCTTTGCTTTCCTATGCTCTGAATGCTGCTGTTTGTGTGAACTCTGTGGAGAGGCCAGTTTGGCGAAATGATATTGGACTCAAGTAGTCAGTGAATTATGAGCAGAATACCACAATTCCTTAACATCCTACAGATCTGGAAGGGCTCTTTCTATGTTCCCACACGCTGAAAGGAAACACACAAAGATACAGTCTCACAGAAAAGTGGAAGTACAGACCTCTCAATTTCTCCAGGACATGTCTCCGCGATTTTCTTTTTCAATGCAGCTGACGTCAGACTGGTGTATCAGACTCTGTCCTAACTGGAATAAACAAAACAGAAGTGTTATTGATGGCCTATGTGATTGTTAAAAGTATTCAAAAATATTCATCTTTAGAAGCATAGCTAACAAAGTATCTAGTAGCCCATTAAAGGCTAATAAAGATAAGATGGGCTTTGGTTTTGGGGGGCACCAGTCCGATGATGTAGACAAGAAAGCTCAAAATTCCAGGATTCCTATAAACTATAATCCCACCAATTTACCTTGTTTCAGTTTGTAGGATTGACAAGTTGACAAACAATAAAAAATTTCCTTCCAGTGGCTCCTTAGAAACCAACTAAGTTTGTTGTTGGTATGAGCTTTTGTGTGCTACTGTAAGCATTTTTAAAATTTTGTTTCAACTATGGCAGCCCAACACGGCTACCTACCTGTATCTAGAATTTGACAGACCTTACTTGTAAAACAAGTGGTACCTTGGTTTGCAAGCAGTCTGGTTTGCATATGTTTTGGATTACAAACACTTCAAACCCGAAAGTGCGTGTCCCGGTTTGCAATTTTTTTTGGGATTACAACCATTTTATTTTATTTTTGGAATACGAATAAAAACTTTCGAGATGGACAAGACGACCCTCTTGCTAGCTCAATTTGTGCTTAAGCAGGTAACTATAGCAAGAAGAACAGAACAGGAATAAAAAGGAAGACAACTTCTTAGGATAAAGGAACTCAGTGGTCCCACAGTTACTCTGGAGAACTTCCTAAAGGTTCCTGTAAGGTAGTCCAGGTAAAGAAGAGAAGAAAACCCAGGTAAGGGTGGAAATGAAAGAGAGGGGAGAAGGAGGGGAAGGAGACACAGGAGGATTCTGGACATTTGGGTGGGGGAGTCCCAACCCCCAGGACAACCCTTGTTTCTCTGAATCTGATGGTCTCCCCTCCACAGAGAGTGAAAAGGCCGCAGGAAGAGAAGAGAGGAAAGCGGAGACAGGAGACAAAGGAGGAGAAGGGAAGAAGAAAGGAAGATCCCTTCCGAAATGGCGTTCCTGACTTTCCTCTTCTGCCCTCCCTGGAGCTCTGATGCAGCTGACCTGGCCAGGGGGTTGCTTTCCCACCAGGCCTACCCTCTTGAAATTTGGACCTCCTGCCAGCACACAGGTGGGCCAGGACCACCCACACGGGACCCCCCTCCTGCAATAAACTCGAAGCCTGAGCGAGGGAGGAAGTTTCCGGTAACTTAAGGGAGGGGGTTCCTCCCAGGATCTTCCTGCCTTTTCTCTCCAGTGGCTGGACTTGGTAGAAAGAAGCATCCTGGAAAGAACTGGGTGGGGAAATGGGACCCCCCCTTTTTTCAAGGATCCCTCCCTGTCCCTCTCTCCAAGGCAGATTTCTTGCCAGGAAGGGAAAAGCCAAGGCCGCCCCTCCGGAGATTCCCCCGCCAGCGCCCAAGATGGAGACATCTCTTCCAAAAGGCGACGGGTCTCTCCCTCACTCTCTCCCCCCCGCCCACAGGATTCCCCCCTCCCCCGCCACGAATGCTTCCATTGATCCCCCAGCCTCCAAGCTTCCTCTGCCCTCCTCCCTCCGTCCCTGAGACGCCCCTGCGCCCAGAAACCCCCCTTGGCTCCGCTCACCCCTCGCCCCCAAATGCGCGTGGCGCGGATGCTTCCAAGGAGAAGGCGCCACGGAAACCCGGCAGGGGCTTCCTCTGTAGAAAGGACCCCTGCACCCCCGCCCCTGTGCATGTCCCATAGTGTTTTATAGAGAGAGAGAGAGAGAGTGAGTCTTTTGTGGGGGAGGGGCTCCAAAGGAGATCGAGCCATGCAAGTCCTGCAGGTCTTGGGTCCCCACTTCGCAGCGGGATTGCATGGATCCAGACCCTCCTGATGGGGCCCCAGTAAAGGCGCTTTGGGAGAAGGTGGGGAGATATGGAGGGGTCTTTGTCCTTTCCTCCCTCTCCCCACTGCATCTTTACCCCTTTGTCCTCTCTTCTGCCCCTCCGCCTCCCTTGCTCGCTCTTCCGATGTCTTTTCCTGCAACAGAAAGAGCAGGGCGGGAGGAGTTAGTCCAGCGACGCCCCCCCCTTTCTCAAGCCCCTCCCGATGCTCCTTTTTCCCGCCTGCCAGGAAAAGTCCGGCCCATAGAGCTATGGGGCAGAGCAGCCCCTGCCGGTGCTCGGATGGGATCCGGCACTGAGGATTTCCCCAGGGGTTGTATGGGAGGCCTCTCTATCTCTCTCCTCTCTATGATAGAGGGGGGGCTGTTCTTCCCTGCTCAGTTCCTCTGGGATCCTGCATCTCAGCCCGCAAGGCCCCTTTTCTGTGGTTAGACCAAGCCTGCAGGGCGGTTCTTTGGCCACTGCTTCCCTGCCTCTGCTTTACAGGAAGAGCAGCAAACTCTGCACATGCCCAGAGAATACTGTATGAACTCCCACCACACCGTTTTCACTTTTAGTTTGCCACTAAACGAACCACCAGTCAATAATGCCGGGCCCCACGTGGATCATGAACCCGCAACCCTGAAAGGAAGAGCCTCATGCTGTGCCCACTGAGCTCTCCCACCTTTCGCCCCTAAGGGACCGGGGCCCCTAGGAGGTGGCCCCTCTGGATGCACCTTTCCCAGCACGGGAGCCCTAGCCGAGCGTTGCCACGTCCAGAATCTGGTGGGATCCCATGGCGGGATCCGGATCCCTCCCGGTGCCTTGCCCACTTTCTCCCTGGGCAGAAATCCCCGAGCGGCGAGGCCACCTAAGGGTTAAGGGGAGAGAGAGAAAAAAGGCCCCTCTCCCCATCACCCCACTTCTCTTTCCGCTTGTTTTGGGAGGCCTCTGGGGTGGCAAGTCCTTTGGGTGAAGGGGAGGCTCTGGGGCGGCTGGGGTGCAGAAAAGGCTGTTGGGGGGCTGAGAGATGAATTGGAGGATCCCCTGGGTGGGTTGGTGGAAAGGAAACCCAAGGCCTTTGAGGTCCTTGCAACCCCCTGCCCAACCCCCACGAACCCGGGGGGGGGGGAGAGCTCTTTGGGGGGCTCAGAAATGGGTGTCCCTTGAGAAGGGGGGAGGACTCCAAGTGGGGAAAGAGGGTGGGCCCCTGTATTTGGCAGATGCTTTCTTTGTGACCCCTGCATTGCGGAGGGGTTGGACTAGATGACCCTGGGGGTCCCTTCGAGCTCCACAGTTTTATGGTTCTGGTGGGTAGAGGACAGATTGAATTAGTATCACCAGAAAACATTTTAAAACGGAGCTCCTTGTGTGACCTGAACTGTGGGTTCTCACATATGTTAATGTCCAAAATTCAGCATTCGATTGACGTTGGAGAGAGACTAAGTTGAGAAATAAGACCAAGGGTAGATATTGATATTGCAATGTATTAGATAAAATGTAAAGAAATATACAATAAGAAGAGTACATTCATTTGTAAAAAAGGAATATACAGTGGTACCTCTGGATGCGAACGGGATTGTGTTCTGTTACTTCCAGGTGCCCGCGGAATTCAACCCGAAAACGCTCAACCCGAAGCTACTTTAACCTGAGGTACGACTGTACAACGGGATAGACAGTAAGTCTGAAGTGTTGGAATATATATGATTTTGGAATAGTTTTTTGTCCTTGTGTCCCCCCCCCTTTAAGTATATAAACTTTGTATACAAGCTGAAAATTACAGTATAATAAGCCTTGTGAAATAATATGATTATGTTAACCGATATAACATAAGAACATTAATAAATAAATAAAACTGGAAGGCCCACCCCCCAAGTTTATTATTATTATTGGGCAAAAAAATTCCTGCATTGCAGGGGTTGGACTTGATGACCCTCGGGGGTCCCCTGCAACTCTGTAGTTCTATGATTCACCACCCGTCAATAATGTGGGGGACTCACCCGCTAACTGCCCCCTATTAAATATACAGTGGTACCTCGGGTTACATATGCTTCAGGTACATACGCTTCAGGTTACAGACTCAGCTAACCCAGAAATAGTGCTTCAGGTTAAGAACTTTGCTTCAGGATGAGAACAGAAATCATGCCACGCGGCGCAGCAGCAGCTGGAGGCCCCATTAGCTAAAATGGTGCTTCAGGTTAAGAACAGTTTCAGGTTAAGTACGGACCTCCAGAACGAATTAAGTACTTAACCCGAGGTACCACTGTAGTGCGCACATCTCACTGTATGCAAACTACAAAAATCCATACAATTTACCACAGTTTATCTTGTAGTGAGTGAATATTTTCTCGGGCAGAAGTTGAACAAACAACAAGGAGAGTTTTATTAATAAAAGAAGCTTTTGAAAGAAAGTGGGTCAGGAAATGTGTTCTCCTAGGTAGAAGTCACCTTATTTACTAAGATGTCTCAGGCTTAAACACAGGATTACAGTCAAAGCTTCTCTTAAGCTCTCTTCACTAAAAAAAAGTTGTTATACTTCATTTTCTGTTACTTAGTTATGACGGGTGGTTCAGTTAAATACAGCACATCTTACTTCCCCAATCAATACCCTGGTTCCTGAGTGAGGGGCACTTTTCCCCAGCTCCCCCTCTAAGCAACCCCACTGCTGAGGTAATTCCAAAATGGCGTAACAGGCCCAGGGGTCCCCCTCCCCCCTTGTGACTGGCTTGGGGGGTCTTCTCTCCCGAGAAGAACTGCCCCCTCCTGACTGGAAGGGGACCCAGGGGAGCCTGAATCCCCCAGGATCTGCTTCTCCTGCCTCAAGAGTCAGCCCTCCCAGGACACCTGTTTGTCGACCTCCCCCAGACCCCCAACCGGGTCTCCCTCTCTAGGCTGGGAGGGTCTTTCCTCTTTCAGGGAGGGTGTTCAACTCAAACCAGAACCAGTTCTCCCTCAGGCAAATCCTATCCTCCTCCCCAATTCCCACCTCAAAACAATCCCTCTTCATCTTCTCTCATATCAAACCCTATCTAACTCTCTCCCTCAGAAAGGACTCCTTTTATTTTCCCTCCAAAAGTGCCGTTGGCCAATCAGAGAGAGGTTCCATCCCTCTGGTGGAATTTCTGGGGGACTGAACGACCAGACTCTGGTCCAGCTCTGCTGTCCGTCACACTTCTGCCTGAGAACAACCAGTACAGGTCAGCTGTAGGAAATTTCTGACCCTGATCACAACCACCAGACCTACTAAAGGTCAATACTGTGTAAGGAAAACTTCAGGAACCTGGAATCTCCATGTATCTACATCACCTTTGGTTTCACGATATGGCAGTTCATAGAGCAGAGGTGGGGAAAGCAGGAGTTTGCCTGTGAGAGGAAGAGTTTGGGGCTCCTTGTGAAAGGGGATTCCAGGAACCAGGAACAACTTCAGACAAGGCCTTTCCTAGGATGGAAAGAGAGTGAGGGAAATCTGATACTCCCTTATTCCTTTTGAAATAGTTTATTCCAGGCTTTAAGATACGGGGTAAGAATTTCCTTCCAAACTACCCCTCAATGGCCAATGCCAGGGGAAGGAATAACACCTCAAAGAAAAACACAGTCAAGAGATAGGAAAATTCAACGTCCGGAAGGGACCCAGTTTATAGAGAGAAATGCTATTGCAATAACTCCAGCGACTCAAAACCAGAGGTTCATTTTAGTACAACTTTGAGAGGGATTTTTTGAGAAAGGTACAGGCATTAGCTCATAGAAGTTATACATGTACTGGAAGGTCACAGGTCAGGGAGCTAAAACGGTTCTTCTGTCCATTATTTTGGGTATCCTGGTGTCTTGCTGTCTTAGGATTTACATTTCATTCATTTATTGTCCATCAACCTGACAACCAGACCTTTAGAAAGTCCTTAGCTTACCATTCCAATGGCTCCCAACGCCTGGGAAGAAGACTCAAGGGAAGAAGAGTCGGTTACATAAATCTTCTATTTCTAAACGTTTTAAGCAATAGTTTGAAAGATAATTGGGTGGAAGTCGGGGTTGCGAAGTCCACGTAGCCTAGAAATTATTAGAGCACTGAGACATAGCTTCCATCAGAGAAAGTAAGATGAAGGTATAACAAAGGGACGTATGTTTCATTCACTGTTAGGTTATATGATTTCTATCATATGCTAAATGGGTTAACTAATTTTACAACAGAAACACCAGTTCAGTCTCGACTTGAGAGGTTGCATAACGTGGGGGCAGATACAGAAGGCAGATCCAGAACCCCAAAGAGAAACAAGGATGCAGCAGCTGATCTAGAACACTCTTTCCCTCCAAGCCCTATTAATGGATCCTTCTCTAGGAGGACTTGGAGGAGCCACAGACCCTTGGGAAGGAGAGAGGAGCAAAGGATGCCCCAGAGCCCCTCTGGAGAAGTTACTGACAGCACCCAAAACAGAATCACCCACCCAAGGCCATGTTTCTCTTTCTCCACCACCTTCTCTTCCCCCAGTTGCTTTTATTCATCTAGAGGAGCGGGGGAGGGAGTCTCTTTCACACCCCTCTGGACACCCCAGGAACCCTGCTTTCTTCATTCCTCTATTCCTGCTGCCACTGGAAATAATGTTTTATCTGAACATTGTGCGCTTCAGAGAACCAAGTAAGAGGAAGGGTTGTAACACAATTAGTGTATCAATTATAAAAACTACAGAAGGGGTTTATGCACATAAGAAGTTGGCCTCACTCTTTCTGTGTCTTATTTGTTCATTTAGTATAATTACAACAATAGGTGTTATACGGTTGTTCGTATACTGCTAATATAACGAACCCTGCTTCCAGAGCATCACAACTTTCACCCTGTAATTTCCACAATGCTCTATTAGCAATCCTGAAACATCAACATTTCCAACTCTCTCTACCAAAGACTGAACTTCAGCCGACTCAAAGAGCATCAACACTGACCACCAGCATTGCAGGTTCACGCTCTCTGCAAACAGTTCATGACATATGATATTGCATTTACTATTGTGAGACATCACCTTCATTACTTGAATACATGGGTACAAATTTACATGCAGACACCAGAACTTCGCATGTACTCTATGCATCTAACGGCTGATGTATATTAAGATCTGCACTCCAACTGAAGCTCCTTCCACACTGACTGAAGCTCTTTCCAGATTCCATATATTTAAATGATTTCTCACTATCAGTAAAGCTCTTTGCACACAAAATCCTCACATTTAAATGCTTTCCCCCCTGCTGTGAATGTTCTCTGGTGTCTTTAAAATGTCCGGTTTGACCGAGTTTCTTTCCACACTCCTTACAATTCAATGGTTATTCTCTGGTGTGAGTTCGCTGATGTCTCTTAAGGTTTCCACTTTGACTGAAGCTTTTTCCACATTCCATACATTTAAATGGTTTCTCCTTTGTGTGAGTCTGTAGATGGCTTCTAAGGATTCCACCAATACGGAAGCTCTTTCCACACTCCATACATTTAAATGGTTTCTCCCCTGTGTGTGTTCTTTGGTGGCTTTTATAATTTCCACTTTGACTGAAGCTCTTTCCACAGTCTATACAGTTATATGGGTTCCCCCTGTGTGAATTCTTTGGTGCAGTCTAAGGTTTTTGGTTGAAGTGAAGCTCTTTCCACACTCCATACATTTATAAGGTTTCTCCCCTGTGTGAGTTCGCTGATGTATTCTAAAGGTTACACTATGACGAAAACTCTTTCCACACTCCATACATTTAAATGGTTTCTCCCCTGTGTGTGTTCTTTGGTTGATTTTATATTTTCCACTTTGACTGAAGCTCTTTCCACACTCTTTACAGTTATATGGGTTCTCCCCTGTGTGAGTTCTTTGGTGCAGTCTGAGTACACTTTGACTGAAGCTCTTTCCACACTCCATACATTTAAATGGTTTCATCCCTGTGTGAGTTTTCTGATGTGTTCTGAGGTATCCACTTTGACTGAAGCTCTTCCCACATTCCATACATTTAAATGGTTTCTCCCCTGTGTGAGTTTGCTGATGTGTTCTGAGATGTCCACTTTGACTGAAGCTCTTCCCACATTCCATACATTTAAATGGTTTCTCCCCTGTGTGAGTTTTCTGATGTGTTCTGAGGTTTCCACTTTGACTGAAGTTCTTTCCACATTCCATACATTTAAATGGTTTCATCCCTGTGTGAGTTTGCTGATGTATTGTAAGGGCGTCCCTACGACCAAAGCTCTTTCCACATTCCATGCATTTAAATGGTTTCTTTCCCGTGTGAATTTGCTGATGTGTTCTAAGGTTCCCACTTTGACTGAAGCTCTTTCCACACTCAACACATTTAAATGGTTTCTCACCCTGGGGCATTTGTTGATGTTTCCTATGAGTTTTGCTCCAGTTCAAGCTCTTTTGCACTGCATAGCTTTAGATGGTTTATCTTCTGTTGAGTTCATTATTGTAAACTCAGTGTGCACACAGACAGAAGAACATTATGCACATTTTAACTTTGTCTTCATTATTCTCAATGAAATTGAAGGTGTCTCCTCAGAATTTGGATCGCCTTCTCCTTTGGGGGAAAGAAAACCATTTTAGGGTTTCACGGAAGAGGGAAAAGGAACTTAACACAAAGTGAGCCTAATTAACACCACCGTCTTTTTTATTTAAAAGCATCTCCTAGATTCTCTCCTCTCTTCTCTATGTCTCCCTGAGGAAGTATGGCCAGGGAATGGACCACCTGATCTCATGCCCGTCTTGTGATATAGAACTATCCTTGTGGAAATTATCTGTCCAGGACTCTCTCACTTTTCTTTCTCCTTTGGGGTGGGTGGTTAAGCAAATATGTGTGACACTGAAAAAGCTGAATTCTAATGGGAAGACTTTCAGAGGAAAATATCCTTTGGAATAATATACCAATTGCATGTAAGCTGTCAACTGGATTACAAAAGTGGATTATGCATTTCCTAAATGTGGCCAAAAGACTGATACTGATAAATTAGAGGAATAAAGATATGTTTTACCTTAATTAATTAATATAATATATCATTATTCAAACCCCATCCATAAGGCTGGGCAGCTCCCAACAGAATATTAAAGACACGCTAAAACATCAAACATCGACTTCCAGTTGGTCCACAGAGCTGAGAAGAGATGGGACTCAGCCCTTAGGGGAGAGTTCAGCTCTTTGCGAAAGAAAGGGGGAGTCTGCAAGGGCGCCGCAGCCCCCCCAAACCCTCAAAAGGATTATTTTGAGGCCACCAGCACCATAAGGACGTCTCTCCGGCGCCGAAAACGCTCCCCTTGGAGAGCGGAAAGTGCAGCGAGATCAAGACACCAGCGCGGGATGCCGTTAACTACTCGGAGGATTGAAGCCTTGAGTCTATCCAGCACAGTGGCTGATTTTCGAACAAAAAGAAACCTGAATCTGGCAAAATGTTGGGAAATTCTAATTGAGAAAGATTCGGAAGACAGAAGGGATAAAAAAGGAGGCCAGCCCCGACTGTGATTGATTTACACTGCATGAATTACCTGCAAAACGGAGTAAGATTCTAATCTCCTACAGCGAATAAAAATAATAAATATACTTTTTTAGTTCTGAAGGTTTGGTTTACTGAAAGGGAGGTGGAAATCCCTAGAAAATAAACTTATTTGAAACCCTTTGGGAGTTGAAGGAGCCCGCTGGAGAAGGAGCTTCCGGCTTTTACTTTCAATTTTAATTTAAACTGTGCAATTTGTAAAAAATATGTTTATGGAGCTATTTTTGCGAGTTAAAATACCAGACCAGCAGAGACAAATATAAAAAGACTGCTAAAGTCTGGTACTGTAAGAAATTTGAGGAGATATTTACAGGAAGAGACTTGGGGACACCCTCCCCCTTTTGGTTAATGAGCATGATGGATTTATTTTCTCTCTCTCTTTTAACTTCACCTTTTTCATTGTTAAGACATTATAATTGTAGTGAATGCCTTCCTCTTTTCCTTTCTCCTGGAATATAATGCAGGGGAAGTTGGATTAAGCCACCAAGAGGCGGAAGAATTTGTTTTGTTTTGTTTTGTTGGTACTTGGTTTTGATTTCTTCTTTTTCTTGGGACGGGGACACAGTGGAAAGTGCGAAAAATCTGTGTAAGTGGTGGAAGACGTTTTCTCCTGCTTTCTCTTTGTTTTTGTACAAATAATTATTGGATTATTGCAGCATTTACCCTTTGTCTCCCTCTCGGCTATATACATTTGATATAGAACTGGTTGGAGGCAAAAGGGCCACCTAGTGGTGAAAGAGGGAATAACAGTTTAAGAATGACATCATCACAGAAAAAAGGAGGGGAGGGGCAACATTAGGAGAGACCCAGAGAGGGTCAAAGCAAGAAATGGAAGGGAAAGGAGATGTTGCAAAAATGTTTGCAGAACTGAAGAAAGATATTAAAGATATTAAACAAAGTGAGACAAATATGGAAAGTAGATGGGAGCAGATGGACAAAAAATTAGATTTAACTGTGAATGAGATGAAAGCCCAGATAAAAGATGTGAGCAAGAGAACACAAAATTTAGAGGAAAGATTGAAACCTATGCAACGAAAAGTAAGGAATTTAAAAAAGGAGGATGAGAAAAATAAAAGTGCAGTGTCAGAGCTGAATAAGGAACAGGAGGAATTGTGGGATGCAACTGTGGTGCAGGAATTGAAGCAAAGAGAGATAAATTTGAGAATCAGATCTCTCCCAGAAACAGCAGGACAGAATATTTTAGAAGAATTAATTATTGAAATTGCACAATGGCTAGGAATTGGAAAAGATGAATTTGCCAATACAGTATTGAATGCATTTAGGATAAAAGTTAAATCAAAAAAAGGAAAAAAGTTTCCAGGAGATTGTTTGATGATATTTAAAGATAAGTAGATGAGAAATTTAATTTTGCTAAAAAAACAAGAGAAAAGAAGTTCTATATTGATAGAGCAATGATAATCATATTTAAGGAAATTCCAGTTCGTCAGCTGAAATGAAGTGATGGATATAAACCTCTGACACAAGTGGTGAGAAAAAACAATATTGATTTTAAATGGGAGTATCTGGAAGGAGTCTCATTCTACTACAAGGAAAAGTTAAACTGAAAAAGATGAAGTAAAAAAATTCCTCCAGAGGTACAGGGAACTGGATAAAGAGGAAGAAGGGGCAGCAGCAGGAACAGATACCATAGACCAAGAAGTAGAAGTAGAAGATAATAAATTAGAAGAAGAAGAAGAGGAGGAGGAGGAAGGATAAGTTTAAAAGACTCTAGTTCACAAATAGTAGCAAAAACAAAACGGCATGAACACTTATGACATGGAGTGTTAATGGTTTGAATAACAAAACTAAAAGAAATAAAGTTGAAAAGATTCTATTAAAAAGAACTTAGATATTATTTGTTTTTGAGAGACTCATGTTGCAAGAAAACATAGAAGAATTTTGGTAAAAAAGAAATTAGGAAGTGAATTTATTTCATCAGACAGGAGTAAAAGAGGGGTGGTGTTGTATATAAAAATAAATATGAAGCAAGACAAATCTTTGTGGATCAAAAAATAATTATGGGGGACCTGAATGGGGTAATTTCATTGGAAATTGATAGAATGAGAAATGGGAATAGAATAGAAAGAAGGTAAACTACCCAAAACTTTCTTCTCTATGGTAGAAAGCTGCAATTTGATTGATGTGTGGAGATTAAAACACCCGTTGGAGAAACAATATACAGTGGTACCTCGGGTTAAGAACTTAATTCGTTCTTGAGGTCCGTTCTTAACCTGACACTGTTCTTAACCTGAGATACCACTTTAGCTAATAGGGTCTCCCGCTGATGCTGCGAGATTTCTGTTCTTATCCTGAAGCAAAGTTCTTAACCCGAGATACTATTTCTGCTGTTTACCAGCTCCATCTGGTATGCAGGCTGAGACCCTATCTTCCCCTCGGACTGCTTCGCCAGAGTGGTGCATGCTCTGGTTATCTCTCGCTTGGAGTACTGCAATGCGCTCTATGTGGGGCTACCTTTGAAGGTGACCCAGATACTACAACTAATCCAGAATGCGGCAGCTAGACTGGTAACTGGGAGTGGCCGCCAAGACCACATAACATCGGTCTTGAAAGACCTACATTAGCTCCCAGTACGTTTCCGAGCACAATTCAAAGTAACCTTTATAGCCCTAAACAGCCTCAGTCCAGTATATCTGAAGGAGCATCTCCACCCCCATCGTTCTACCTGGACACTGAGGTTCAGCACCAAGGGCCTTCTGGCGGTTGCCTCACTGCGAGAAGCCAAGTTACAGGGAACCAGGCAGAGGGCCTTCTCGGTAGTGGCACCCATCCTGACAAACACCCTCCCACAAGATGTCAAAGAGAAAAACAACTACCAGACTTTTAGAAGACATCTGAAGGCAGCCCTGTTTGGGGAAGCTTTTAATGTTTGATGCATTACCGTATTTTAATATTTTGTTGGAAGCCGCCCAGAGTGCCTGAGGAAGCCCAGCCAGATGAGTGGGGTAAATAAGTAATAAATAAAAAAATAAATAAATAAAAGATGATGATAAAAATTTCAGCTAGACCCTACTGGCACCATTGGAGGAAGTAATGAACAATATTTTGAAAAAAGGAGAAACACCAGAGACTTGGAAAGAAGCATATATTACACTGATACCCAAACCAGACTCAGACATGACATGTTAAAAACTACAGGCCGATTTCTTTGTTGAACAGTGATTATAAACTATTTGCAAATATTAAGGTTTTCTTCCTGGCTGCCAGATGAAGGACAATATAAGGAATATTGTGAATATTATTGAATACTTGACGGCCAGGAATGAAAAGCAGGCAGCCATAATATTTGTGGATGCTGAAAAGGCCTTAAATTCTAGGGAATTTAAGATTAAAAACTTCGAAAGGATGCAAATGGGTCAATTGTTTATGAGAAGTTTAAAAGCAATATATTCCAGTCAAAAGGCAAAAATTATTGAAAATAATGTATTAACAGAAAATATTGAAATTACAAAGGGACAAGACAAGGGTGTCCACTATCACCATTGTTATTCATATCGGTTCTGGAATTCTCCTGAATAATATAAGGTTAGCAGAAGGAATTAAAGGAATATCAGTCAGAAGGAAAGAATATAAAGTAAAAGCCTTTATGGATGACTTGGTAATAACAATTGAACCAATAACAAGTCCGAAGGAAGTACTAGAAAAAATTGAACAGTTTAGACAAGTAGCAGGCTTTAAAGTAAATAAAAATAAAAAGTTTGTTAAAAATATGGACAAAAAGATAGTGGATCAGTTGCAATAATAAACAGAAACAGGGGTGGTAAAGAAAGAATATTGTTAACCCACCAAAATATAAATTTCTATCAATAAAACCACAACCAGGTATGGAATAAGATTAAGAGAGATTTGGAAGTGTGGGGAAGGATGAAATTGTCACTTTGGGGAAGGATATCGGTTATAAAAATGAATGTGCTACCAAAAATGTTATTTTTGATTCAGTCAATTGATGGAGTACACAGAATTAGCTAAGATGACCGGGAGAATCCGAGAACAGCGGGACCAAAAATTCCTGAAGGACTGGAGTAAATTTGTGAATTATTTGAAGGGCAATGGTGTTCAATTGAATACGCTTGGAGGATAACAAGAAGTCTTGTGAAAAATGGAGATAAGAAATATTGTTAATAAGAGTTAAAAGTCAGGATGTTAAGATTTTGATTATATAAACAGTAGTAAAGAGACAAATTGTAAACAGAAGAGAGATAGGATGAAATCATTAGAAGGGAATGATGGATGTCACTGGCTAAAAGTAGCCAAGATGTGTAAGAGATGATAAGATGGATGTTTTGTTTGGAAAGTTTATGTTAAAAATCTTTAATAATAATAATAATAATAATAATAATAAAAACATCAAACATCAAAAACTTCCCTAAATAGGGCTGCCTTCAGATGAACTGACAATCTGAGAACACTCACAATGGTTGAATGGATATAGACGTAGACTTTGTTTGGATAAACAAGGGCTCTGGTGCCTGTTTATGGACTCTGTGCTTATTTGCAACCATTCAGATGTAATTGGCCAGTACTTGAAGTCTGGAATGTCATGTGGATTTATAGCTTTTCTTCGTGCTTTGCTTTCCTATGCTCTGAATGCTGCTGTTTGTGTGAACTCTGTGGAGAGGCCAGTTTGGCGAAATGATATTGGACTCAAGTAGTCAGTGAATTATGAGCAGAATACCACAATTCCTTAACATCCTACAGATCTGGAAGGGCTCTTTCTATGTTCCCACACGCTGAAAGGAAACACACAAAGATACAGTCTCACAGAAAAGTGGAAGTACAGACCTCTCAATTTCTCCAGGACATGTCTCCGCGATTTTCTTTTTCAATGCAGCTGACGTCAGACTGGTGTATCAGACTCTGTCCTAACTGGAATAAACAAAACAGAAGTGTTATTGATGGCCTATGTGATTGTTAAAAGTATTCAAAAATATTCATCTTTAGAAGCATAGCTAACAAAGTATCTAGTAGCCCATTAAAGGCTAATAAAGATAAGATGGGCTTTGGTTTTGGGGGGCACCAGTCCGATGATGTAGACAAGAAAGCTCAAAATTCCAGGATTCCTATAAACTATAATCCCACCAATTTACCTTGTTTCAGTTTGTAGGATTGACAAGTTGACAAACAATAAAAAATTTCCTTCCAGTGGCTCCTTAGAAACCAACTAAGTTTGTTGTTGGTATGAGCTTTTGTGTGCTACTGTAAGCATTTTTAAAATTTTGTTTCAACTATGGCAGCCCAACACGGCTACCTACCTGTATCTAGAATTTGACAGACCTTACTTGTAAAACAAGTGGTACCTTGGTTTGCAAGCAGTCTGGTTTGCATATGTTTTGGATTACAAACACTTCAAACCCGAAAGTGCGTGTCCCGGTTTGCAATTTTTTTGGGGATTACAACCATTTTATTTTATTTTTGGAATACGAATAAAAACTTTCGAGATGGACAAGACGACCCTCTTGCTAGCTCAATTTGTGCTTAAGCAGGTAACTATAGCAAGAAGAACAGAACAGGAATAAAAAGGAAGACAACTTCTTAGGATAAAGGAACTCAGTGGTCCCACAGTTACTCTGGAGAACTTCCTAAAGGTTCCTGTAAGGTAGTCCAGGTAAAGAAGAGAAGAAAACCCAGGTAAGGGTGGAAATGAAAGAGAGGGGAGAAGGAGGGGAAGGAGACACAGGAGGATTCTGGACATTTGGGTGGGGGAGTCCCAACCCCCAGGACAACCCTTGTTTCTCTGAATCTGATGGTCTCCCCCTCCACAGAGAGTGAAAAGGCCGCAGGAAGAGAAGAGAGGAAAGCGGAGACAGGAGACAAAGGAGGAGAAGGGAAGAAGAAAGGAAGATCCCTTCCGAAATGGCGTTCCTGACTTTCCTCTTCTGCCCTCCCTGGAGCTCTGATGCAGCTGACCTGGCCAGGGGGTTGCTTTCCCACCAGGCCTACCCTCTTGAAATTTGGACCTCCTGCCAGCACACAGGTGGGCCAGGACCACCCACACGGGACCCCCCTCCTGCAATAAACTCGAAGCCTGAGCGAGGGAGGAAGTTTCCGGTAACTTAAGGGAGGGGGTTCCTCCCAGGATCTACCTGCCTTTTCTCTCCAGTGGCTGGAAAGAAGCATCCTGGAAAGAACTGGGTGGGGAAATGGGACCCCCCCTTTTTCAAGGATCCCTCCCTGTCCCTCTCTCCAAGGCAGATTTCTTGCCAGGAAGGGAAAAGCCAAGGCCGCCCCTCCGGAGATTCCCCCGCCAGCGCCCAAGATGGAGACATCTCTTCCAAAAGGCGACGGGTCTCTCCCTCACTCTCTCCCCCCCGCCCACAGGATTCCCCCTCCCCGCCACGAATGCTTCCATTGATCCCCCAGCCTCCAAGCTTCCTCTGCCCTCCTCCCTCCGTCCCTGAGACGCCCCTGCGCCCAGAAACCCCCCTTGGCTCCGCTCACCCCTCGCCCCCAAATACGCGTGGCGCGGATGCTTCCAAGGAGAAGGCGCCACGGAAACCCGGCAGGGGCTTCCTCTGTAGAAAGGACCCCTGCACCCCCGCCCCTGTGCATGTCCCATAGTGCTAGAGAGAGAGAGAGAGAGAGAGAGAGAGAGAGAGAGAGAGAGAGAGAGAGAGATCTTTTGTGGGGGAGGGGCTCCAAAGGAGATCGAGCCATGCAAGTCCTGCAGGTCTTGGGTCCCCACTTCGCAGCGGGATTGCATGGATCCAGACCCTCCTGATGGGGCCCCAGTAAAGGCGCTTTGGGAGAAGGTGGGGAGATATGGAGGGGTCTTTGTCCTTTCCTCCCTCTCCCCACTGCATCTTTACCCCTTTGTCCTCTCTTCTGCCCCTCCGCCTCCCTTGCTCGCTCTTCCGATGTCTTTTCCTGCAACAGAAAGAGCAGGGCGGGAGGAGTTAGTCCAGCGACGCCCCCCCCTTTCTCAAGCCCCTCCCGAGGCTCCTTTTTCCCGCCTGCCAGGAGAAGTCCGGCCCATAGAGCTATGGGGCAGAGCGGTGCTCGGATGGGATCCGGCACTGAGGATTTCCCCAGGGGTTGTATGGGAGGCCTCTCTATCTCTCTCCTCTCTATGATAGAGGGGGGGCTGTTCTTCCCTGCTCAGTTCCTCTGGGATCCTGCATCTCAGCCCGCAAGGCCCCTTTTCTGTGGTTAGACCAAGCCTGCAGGGCGGTTCTTTGGCCACTGCTTCCCTGCCTCTGCTTTACAGAAAGAGCAGCAAACTCTGCACATGCCCAGAGAATACTGTATGAACTCCCACCACACCGTTTTCACTTTTAGTTTGCCACTAAACGAACCACCAGTCAATAATGCCGGGCCCCACGTGGATCATGAACCCGCAACCCTGAAAGGAAGAGCCTCATGCTGTGCCCACTGAGCTCTCCCACCTTTCGCCCCTAAGGGACCGGGGCCCCTAGGAGGTGGCCCCTCTGGATGCACCTTTCCCAGCACGGGAGCCTAGCCGAGCGTTGCCACGTCCAGAATCTGGTGGGATCCCATGGCGGGATCCGGATCCCTCCCGGTGCCTTGCCCACTTTCTCCCTGGGCAGAAATCCCCGAGCGGCGAGGCCACCTAAGGGTTAAGGGGAGAGAGAAAAAAGGCCCCTCTCCCCATCACCCCACTTCTCTTTCCGCTTGTTTTGGGAGGCCTCTGGGGTGGCAAGTCCTTTGGGTGAAGGGGAGGCTCTGGGGCGGCTGGGGTGCAGAAAAGGCTGTTGGGGGGCTGAGAGATGAATTGGAGGATCCCCTGGGTGGGTGGGTGGAAAGGAAACCCAAGGCCTTTGAGGTCCTTGCAACCCCCTGCCCAACCCCCACGAACCCGGGGGGGGGGGGAGAGCTCTTTGGGGGGCTCAGAAATGGGTGTCCCTTGAGAAGGGGGGAGGACTCCAAGTGGGGAAAGAGGGTGGGCCCCTGTATTTGGCAGATGCTTTCTTTGTGACCCCTGCATTGCGGAGGGGTTGGACTAGATGACCCTGGGGTCCCTTCGAGCTCCACAGTTTTATGGTTCTGGTGGGTAGAGGACAGATTGAATTAGTATCACCAGAAAACATTTTAAAACGGAGCTCCTTGTGTGACCTGAACTGTGGGTTCTCACATATGTTAATGTCCAAAATTCAGCATTCGATTGACGTTGGAGAGAGACTAAGTTGAGAAATAAGACCAAGGGTAGATATTGATATTGCAATGTATTAGATAAAATGTAAAGAAATATACAATAAGAAGAGTACATTCATTTGTAAAAAAGGAATATACAGTGGTACCTCTGGATGCGAACGGGATCGTGTTCCGTTACTTCCAGGTACCCGCGGAATTCAACCTGAAAACGCTCAACCCGAAGCTACTTTAACCTGAGGTACGACTGTACAACGGGATAGACAGTAAGTCTGAAGTGTTGGAATATATATGATTTTGGAATAGTTTTTTGTCCTTGTGTCCCCCCCCCCTTTAAGTATATAAACTTTGTATACAAGCTGAAAATTACAGTATAATAAGCCTTGTGAAATAATATGATTATGTTAACCGATATAACATAAGAACATTAATAAATAAATAAAACTGGAAGGCCCACCCCCCAAGTTTATTATTATTATTGGGCAAAAATTCCTGCATTGCAGGGGTTGGACTTGATGACCCTCGGGGTCCCCTGCAACTCTGTAGTTCTATGATTCACCACCCGTCAATAATGTGGGGACTCACCCGCTAACTGCCCCTATTAAATATACAGTGGTACCTCGGGTTACATATGCTTCAGGTACATACGCTTCAGGTTACAGACTCAGCTAACCCAGAAATAGTGCTTCAGGTTAAGAACTTTGCTTCAGGATGAGAACAGAAATCATGCCACGCGGCGCAGCAGCAGCTGGAGGCCCCATTAGCTAAAATGGTGCTTCAGGTTAAGAACAGTTTCAGGTTAAGTACGGACCTCCAGAACGAATTAAGTACTTAACCCGAGGTACCACTGTAGCGCGCACATCTCACTGTATGCAAACTACAAAAATCCATACAATTTACCACAGTTTATCTTGTAGTGAGTGAATATTTTCTCGGGCAGAAGTTGAACAAACAACAAGGAGAGTTTTATTAATAAAAAGAAGCTTTTGAAAGAAAGTGGGTCAGGAAATGTGTTCTCCTAGGTAGAAGTCACCTTATTTACTAAGATGTCTCAGGCTTAAACACAGGATTACAGTCAAAGCTTCTCTTAAGCTCTCTTCACTAAAAAAAAGTTGTTATACTTCATTTTCTGTTACTTAGTTATGACGGGTGGTTCAGTTAAATACAGCACATCTTACTTCCCCAATCAATACCCTGGTTCCTGAGTGAGGGGCACTTTTCCCCAGCTCCCCCTCTAAGCAACCCCACTGCTGAGGTAATTCCAAAATGGCGTAACAGGCCCAGGGGTCCCCCTCCCCCCTTGTGACTGGCTTGGGGGGTCTTCTCTCCCGAGAAGAACTGCCCCCTCCTGACTGGAAGGGGACCCAGGGGAGCCTGAATCCCCAGGATCTGCTTCTCCTGCCTCAAGAGTCAGCCCTCCCAGGACACCTGTTTGTCGACCTCCCCCAGACCCCCAACCGGGTCTCCCTCTCTAGGCTGGGAGGGTCTTTCCTCTTTCAGGGAGGGTGTTCCCACCTCAAAACAATCCCTCTTCATCTTCTCTCATATCAAACCCTATCTAACTCTCTCCCTCAGAAAGGACTCCTTTTATTTTCCCTCCAAAAGTGCCGTTGGCCAATCAGAGAGAGGTTCCATCCCTCTGGTGGAATTTCTGGGGGACTGAATGACCAGACTCTGGTCCGGCTCTGCCGTCCGTCCGTCACACTTCTGCCTGAGAACAACCAGTACAGGTCAGCAGTAGGAAATTTCTGTCCCTCATCACAACCACCAGACCTACTAAAGGTTAATACTTTG